ACAAGAACATGGACAAGAACATGGACAAGAACATGGACAAGAACATGGACAAGAACATGGACAAGAACATGGACAAGAACATGGACAAGAACATGAACATGGAGACAGCCAGCCTCCAACGGAACCTATCAAGGTCATCTTCATCGGACATAGTGTTGGAGCATATATCGCGCTGGAGATCATGAGGTTGTGGCACGAACGACACTCCCATTCACATACACATACTCAGTCGGGCGAGACCGAGTCAACGGGGAGAAGTAGAAGCAGAAGCGGAAACGACCTCAGCAAAGACGCGGGTTCGAGCTCGTGTGCAGATTTGTTGTCATCTTCATCTTCATCCTCCTCTTCAGCTCACGTACCGGCAGCGGCAGCAGCAACAACAACACCAATACCAACACCAGCTTCCTCTACATCGACACCTCGAACCCCAGGTCCAGCTCCAGCTCCATCACCTTCAATCCCGACTCGACCTCAATCTCCCAGTGTACCACCTTCATGGACAATCTCAGGAAGTTTCCTCCTCACCCCCACGATCATGGACATCCACCGCTCCACATCCGGCCGATTCGCCACACCGCTACTGACATCGCTTTCGCATTCACATTCACTCCCATCACCACTGCCACGCTCGCTCCAGCTCAACCCGCAGTTCCTGCTACTCAGCCTGTCCCAGACACTGCTCCACTCCGTCCTCGTCAACCGACTACCGGCAAAATGGTTATCATGGCTGGTCGCCCGAGTCACGGGGATGAAACCAGGCTCGCACGGATTGGAAGCGACTCTGGCGTTCCTCAGGAGTCCGCGGGGCGTCAAGCAGGCGCTGTACATGGCTGCTGATGAGATGAGGGAGATAAGAGCGGATAAATGGGGAGAAGAGATATGGGGTGTTGGCGTTGCGGAAGCAACAACAACAAAAGCAGAAGCGTCGTCGTCGTCGTCATCTTCGAAACAACCTCCGACCCCTTCAACAGGCGCTTCAATACCACCACCACCAACGACAGAAACAGAATCTAGGTCTATGTCTGATATTCCGAATCATGTTCAAGACTCGGAGAGACATACCCCCCACCCCAAATTCAGACCGATGCTCTATTTCTGGTTCGCGAAATCGGATCACTGGGTCGCAGATATCACGCGGGAAGAGATCCAGAAGACGCGAGGCCGCGGCGTGGTGGAAAGAGATGAGATCGATATTGATGCTTTCAACACAAAGGCCGACATGACACATCTCGCATCTGATGGTCCTCAGGATCCCAAGGATGAGAAGACCATGGTAGTAGAAGAAGAGGCGTCGCTGGTGCGGATATTTGAGACGGATGGGCTGGCGCACGCTTGGTGTTTGGACCAGACTGAATTCGTGGCGCGACGCGTCTCGGGGTGGGTGAGAGAGATACTGGACCGAGACGCTCGTGCGAGTCATTGACCGGCATATATCTTTCTGGTCCATGCTGCCAGTATTTACAACGCTTGAGCTCATGCTCTCACGCCTATCAGCATGGGTACTCCTCTTACTTCCCAGATGAGGGAACTTGGGTTGCGAGATGGCTGGGAACCCTTTAGTCAACCTGGCATCGTGGCAGTATTTGGTTGGGACATAGAACAGGAGGGCCTGAAATGCACTGATACAGCTTTTGATAAGATGTTTATCTTTGAGCGAGCCCTGCTCTCCTGAACAGATCTCCTAATACGTCGGGCTTCTGTAAAGGCGGTCCTTGAGATGAGAAGTTCATAGCGCCTGGAAAATCACCTCCACCATCCAGGTTATGTGTCCTCACACTCCAGCCTGCATCGGACGCTCGTTGCTGGCCGAAAAGCTGTTGAAGATTGACGGGTTGCCCAGGCATGGGTGCGTGGGCTTGCTGGTTGTGCAGGGTCTGTTCAGCCTGTTGCATATGTCCATTCGTATGTTGCGCAACCGCGGCAGACGCAGCAGCCTCAGCGGCTTGTCTACTCGCACCGGCGTGATCGGCGAGGGACTTCATCAATTCGCCGTTTCTTTCCATGGCGTGCTCTGTGGACGACCCCGGGGCGTCATGGAAGATGTAGACGCCATAGATCTTCTGCTCGTGGCCCTCCTTGAAGCTGATTATGACATACTCTCCCGTTATTTCGACACCAGCATTTTCTCCTTCTCTCAACTCGGCCTCAAAATTGTCCAATCCTCTTCTGTTGAGGACAATCGCGCAGTACCGATCCTCCCCGTACGGCCCTGGCACAAGCTCGCATATGAACAATGACCCCTCCACCCCTGTCTTCGTCCATTCTGGCTGTGGAATCGGAGAGAATTCGTAAACAACTGCATACGGAGCAATTGAGAGGATGGAGGATATTGCAGGATTGATACGTTTGAGCACGGCCAGGTTGAGCTCTTCGTTGGTGCGATTCGGCGGAGGAGCTTTTGTAGGATAGTCTGACTGATAGCCTTGATAGTCCGACTCGTAGTCTGAGTTCTGTACAGCTGTAGCTGACTGGCGAGGAGACATTGGTGTAGTTGTAGAAGGAGGACCGCTCTGCGGTGGTTGCGGTGGTTGCGGTTGTGTTGTGGAGGATATGGGAGGGTAGCGTGGAAAGTCGACAGACTGTTGACGTCTCGAGGTGCCAGACCGTCGATAAGACATGTCGATCTGACCAGGAAAGGAGGACTGTGGAATGTAGCAACGGTCAATATGAGATGATCTGACCTACCTCGCGGGTAGGCGCCTACTCTTTAGGGCTTTGGAGGCAAAGCGGTGGTTCTTGTATCCTCGTCTGATGCGCAGCTCTCAGAAAAAGACAAGCATTACAGCTATTATCATGGAGATTTTGTGGCACTGCAGACATACAAGATACCAAGCTGATTGACAGACCAGAATACTCTACACATCGTTGTGAACTGGCCATTCACGAGGCTGGCAGACGCTGTCTAGAAAGGGGAAAGCGCGACCCCAGAGTTAGAGGCGGATCCCAGCGACACGTCTCGCCGTCCAACTTGCACTTCAAGTTTACCCCTAATTTTTGGCCCAGCGCAGTCTGTCCGTCAGTCCAACACCATCATCCTCTCGATCCCTCCACGTTCATCATCAACATATCAACGTCGCGTGCTAGATTGAAAATCTCTTGTCTCTCGCTTACCGTGCGCCGTGACTGTTTGGCTCGGCATCGTCTTTCTCAGCGCATTGTTTGATCTTGTTCAGCCGCCAGAATGTCTTCACCAATGAACCCGGTACGCATGCTCTTATTACCATCCCTAAACAGCGTCACAGCAACAGAGTTCACATTCCTCTACACATCCTCACCGAGGAAACCACCGTGATGTTCTCTACTAACAACATGCGCTTGGCGGACGTGAAGATCCGGAGAAAGAAGAATGTCAAGAAGGGGATTCAGTTCTGCCTCATGGTTTGCGGTGCAAGCGGAACTGGTATGTTTTTCACTCTACCAATAGCTGAAGCTCGACTGACCACTGTCAAGGTCGGACCACTTTCGTCAACACTCTCTGCGGTAAAAGAGTCCTCCAGCCCAAAGACGCCGACGACGCAGCCAATGCCCATCTCGAGGAGGGAGTTCGAATCAAGCCCGTGACGGTTGGTAGGTGGAGAAACTATATATCGCATGTTGGATTGTGGTCTGATGACATTTGCAGAGCTCGAGTTGGATGAGGAAGGCACACGTGTTTCGTTGACCATCGTGGACACACCCGGCTTCGGCGACCAGATCGACAATGAAGCATCCTTCGGTGAAATCGTTGGCTACCTCGAGAGACAGTACGATGACATCCTCGCCGAAGAATCCCGCATCAAGCGAAACCCTCGATTCCGCGACAACCGTGTGCATGCATTGCTCTATTTCATCACCCCAACCGGACATGGCCTGCGTGAACTCGACATTGAATTGATGAGACGCCTCTCCCCGCGTGTCAATGTCATTCCAGTCATCGGCAAGGCTGATTCCCTCACCCCTGCTGAACTGGCCGAGTCCAAGAAATTGGTTATGGAGGACATTGAGCATTACAGAATCCCAGTCTACAATTTCCCCTACGACATCGAGGAGGACGATGAGGATACTGTCGAGGAAAATGCCGAGCTACGTGGCCTGATGCCGTTTGCCATTGTCGGTTCTGAAGACGTGCTTGAGATTGATGGACGACGTGTTCGAGCACGACAATACCCATGGGGTATTGTTGAAGTGGACAACCCTCGTCATTCCGATTTCCTGGCCATTCGCAGCGCCCTGTTGCACTCGCACCTTGCGGATCTCAAGGAAATCACACACGACTTCTTGTATGAGAACTACCGTACGGAGAAGTTGAGCAAGAGTGTGGATGGAGGCATCTCGTATGATCATCCCTTTTGTCTAGCTGTGGAAGTGCAAAATTTACTGACGATTGTGTGTACAGGGGCCAAGACTCGTCTATCAATCCCGAAGACCTAGCCACCCAGTCGGTGCGTCTGAAGGAGGAACAACTCCGACGTGAAGAGGAGAAGCTGCGGGAGATCGAAGTCAAGGTTCAGCGAGAAATCAATGAGAAGCGACAGGAGCTGTTGGCACGAGAGAGCCAGCTTCGCGAGATCGAGGCCCGAATGCAGCGTGAACAAAGCCAGGGCGTGGAAGACTTGAACGGCCATGGCCACCAAGATGCATAAAGACGACCCTGCCGGACGTTTCTATTCTTGCGGTCCAATGCAGGCATGGATCATGAGGGCCAGAAGCGACTTGTATTGGCTCGGTGAAGGCAAGGCTGGAATGACCCGGCTTCGCCAGAAGACAGGGCGGTATGAGGCCGGCACGAAAGTCTCCTGGCTCGTTTCTTTTGCTTGAGGATAGTGGACTTGATGCAGTTGCAGTTGCAGTAGAGTAGCAACCTTCTAATCAGCAGAGAATGGACATGAAGAGAGAAGACCTTTTTCCTTCGTTAAGGCTTATACCTTATGTTTTACTTTATGACTACTCGTAATGCTGTGGTTGCGGCCCTCCCTAGTAAGGAATCGTAGTTGAGCCTGGCTGTAGAGGCCGAGCAGTCGACTGACTACCAACCCCTTTCAGAGGTGGCGGAGTTGATTCGTCCGTACCTGGACGGGCCGGCTGACCCTGAGCAGATTTTCTGGTTACACAGCAGGGGATGCTTAAGAACAGGAGGAGGATTCGAGGATGCCCAGTACTAGTGGTGGACGCGGCGTGGGGTACATATTCAGGCCGGATGAGTTTTACTAGTAGTTGTCGGTTCGGCTCATCGGCTGGCCGGTCTGTCTCTGTCTGTCTGCCTGCCTGCCTGTCTGTCTGTCTGTCCCTGTGTAGGTAGGTAAGGTACATAACTAGGGATGGGATGCTGTTCACGTTCGAATTGCTTACCATACTCTCTGAAGGACAACAGAACGACGGCGGAGCAGAGGATATCAGAGAGAAGGCGCAGGCTAGGGCTAGTAGTAGTACGGCAGCTTTTTGCGGAGGAGGGGTTGTTGCGGTCCAGTTCTTGAGTTGTCAGTTACCCTGCAGTCCACTGCAGTACTAGTACTACAACGCATCTAGACATCACAAGCCTTGGATTGATGCACACTGCCAGTGCAAGAGCCGACTGGCCAAGGAAGGAAGGAATTAAATCGCGCAGTGTGACAAGAAACATGCCCCTGGTATCTCTGATCGTGGTCGCTTTCTGTCTCCCCCAAATCAACCGCAGCTGCGGCTCGGGGGCTTTCATACCTGACTCTGACTCGAGAAACCTCGATGTGCCCGCCTTGAAGTAATAGTAAACACGATCGTACCGGTAGACGCCGTGGAGATGTTGCGGACAGGACTACTAGTAGTAGATTCAACTTGATGCTTCGTCACGGTGGGATTGCACCTGCAGAGACTTTGCAGTAGTGGCGGCGAGAGTACCTAAGTAGCAAGACTGCCTTGCCGCACTGGCAGGCGACTGTCGTCAACGGCTGATCGGTGCGGGCAAGAGTGTGGGATTTCTTATGCACCTGCTCTGAACGACCCGGACGTGGACTGCTAGGTACCTTACAAAGGCATTGACTTCATGGTCGAGTGCATCATCAATCAAGCGTGCTCGTCAGTGTCAATCTCGACCTCGACCTCGACTTCATTCCTTACACTCTTCGCTGTTCAATCTCCCGATCCGTCCTCAGTCTGGGTCTCGTGGCCGATTGAACCCCGGCAACAGGTTGTCATGGTATCAATCCCGCGGCTGGGAGTCAACCTTGCAAACCCCAGAATGCAGGTAACGTCCTCTACCGTCACGCCCAGACACAAGGTAGGTAGCTTTTTCGATTGCTGCCATCTTCTGCTATACCCTTTTCCCCTCGACATCCCCTTCCACCTTTCCAGTTGTTGCTGACCAACCAACCTACAGTTTCAATATCTGGCAGGCTCCATCTGAACATCTCGTCTCGTACCAGTGGCAGCAACAAAGTTTCTTGTCAACTGTCAACTGTCGAACCCGTGCCCTCTAGATCTCGATCGGTCTGTTCTAAATTGTCCGGGCACCTCGAACCTTGGTCACATTTCAGCGGCACATGCTTCGATGGTAGATCTGCAATTGGCGAAGTAACAGGCCTACAATATAGTACACCACGTTTCGGTCACTGGCGAAAGAGTAAGTGCAGGGACGGATTCTCGGAAGCGGGAAGACAAGGACAGAGAAGAAAAAAACGAGACGGAAATCGGACGTTAAACATACTCACAACCTTTGACAACCACGAGGCAACGAGGATCGGACGACGACCCTAGCAAACCGCGACGTTGGAGTGATCTTTCCTCTGACCCGCTTTGCATGTCAGTCATCGATACTGACACTCACCTCGATCCCTCTCGCTCATTCGTCGTTGGCGGAACGGACCATTGGGACTATATTATTAGCATCGAACTGGGTCTCTGTGAGATCGTCTCGAGCTCGTGCCCTCCACTCTGCTTGTCTGTCGGGACCACCCCGCCACAGACTGCAAGCGCAGAAAGCATCGCTCATCAGGGTGTGACGCGCGATATCTGCCCGGCTTGCTGGCTTGTCGTTGCGGCTGCAATCTCATCATTAGCCGACCTTCCCCAACCGTTCGTCGTATCTCCAAAAAAGGTTGGATATTCCCACGTCCTATTCTGCTCGTGAACCTTCTTTCCTTCATATGCTCGCTGTCACGCTGGACTGCCCCCAGCTCTCGCTCACTCGGCGTGAGCTGAACATTCTACCATACCGACGGCTGTGGTCCCTTCGGTAGTCCACAGTCATGTCGGTGATGACCAGTCCGCCAACTGCACCGACACGATCCTCCAGTGGGTTTGGGTTCTTGTCCAAAATCAAATCCCACAAGGAAAACAAATACCTCGCACCTCCACGACCTGGGGCGGTCCATCGAGCTGGCAGTTATGGCAGCATCTACAACCAACCTGCCCGGTCCTCTCTCTTTTCGCTGCCTGCACAGGAGGGTTCGGGATTGAGAGCCCGGCGGCTCAGCGCAAGCCCTCTGGATGAGTTCGTGGTGGATGATGTTTGTCCATTGGAAGAAGAGTTTGTCTCGGTTTCCAAATTCGGCCGCCGGAAAGAGATTGGGAAGGGGGCCAGTGCTACTGTGCGGATAATGGTGCGAAAGGTCGATAAGAAGAGTGACCATGCTCGCCAATATGCCGTGAAAGAGTATCGCAAAAAGTCTGCGCGGGAGACGGAAGAAGAATATGTCCGCAAGGTCAAGTCGGAGTACACCATTGCCAAATCACTCAACCATCCCAACATTGTGCAGACAGTACGGCTATGCACACAAAACGGCCGATGGAACCATGTGATGGAATACTGCCAACAAGGCGAGCTTTTCAGTCTGTTGGAACGGAGGTATTTCAAGGCCGAAGACCGGAGCTGTATATTCAAACAGGTGCTGCGAGGCGTCGAGTACTTGCATGACCACGGCATTGCCCATCGAGATATCAAGCTGGAGAATCTTCTCATGACCGACGAGGGGCACGTTAAGATCACGGACTTTGGCGTGTCCGAGGTATTTTGTGGCGATCATCCGGGCATACCAACATCTCGAGGTCTATGTGGACAAGGAATGAGAGAACCACGGAGGTCGGCCGCGGGTGTCTGTGGGTCAAGACCGTATATTTCTCCCGAGGTGCTAGCTCAGGATCGAGAGTATGATCCGACCAAATTGGATGTTTGGAGCTGTGGGATTCTGTTCATGACGATCTTCCTGGTGGGCAATCCATGGCCGAGCGCGACCAAAAGTGAGGCAAATTACTCACTCTTCTCGGCCGGTTGGGAGGCATTCTTGGAGCAATTTGAAGATGCGCCGATTGACGAGACGACGTATCCGCAGTGTGGACCAATCTTCAACGCCCTGCCGTCGGTGGCGCATCGGCGGTGTGTTCTTAAGATGCTTCATCCGGACCCGGACAAGCGATGCAGCATCAAGGATGCACTTCAGGATCGCTGGGTGAAAGGAATCGACTGCTGCTCACCCGAGGGCATCGGAGCGACGTTGTCGAACGGAATTGATGTGACCAAGAACGGATGTGACAAGGTGGCCGCGAGAATGAAGGTTCAACCCAAACATGATCATTTGCCACCTCCCGTGAAACGACTACCGCAGCATCGATTCGACATGGGCGATGGCACCTCACGTTATGATTGACGATAAGGTGGCAGGCAGCACCTCATTTCGCTGTTCCCACTGCGTCGCATGCGTTTCTTTTTCCTGGGTTCTCTCCTCGCGCATCGCAATTGTCTTTGTCTCTGGTTTGCGTTACGAAGTGCTCGGAAGCGCTAGGGTGTATAGAGACCGTACTATTTGCCTGTATTCAGGTGAGGACGTACAGGGCGGAAGGTACTTGGTAGGGAGGAGTTCTGGTTCCCGATCGATCGAGGATCACTGGCCGGGACACAGGCGAGGCTTCCAAAAACATGGGAGGTAGACTGCTTGTATCATCTTGGGTGTATAAATGTTATTCATGAGTACAGGATTGAGTGGACGAGAACGATACGTCGACAGGCACAAGATAGCTATCGTACAGGCTGCAGGCTGCAGAAACGAGCGCGATGCAACACTGTGAATTTGAGCAGGCAGAGCAGGTAGAGCATGAAGTAAGCGACGGAGGCCAGCGGTCTCATATCAATTGAATGGTCCAAGGTACAATCATCAAGGATTTGGTTTCTGACCGCCTCTGCTTTCAAGTTGCCAGCGAACACGACCACCTGGTATCCTTAGAAGGTGCGGGAATCGGACCGGCTACAACCGCGTGTCATGGATGGGTACAGTGTCAGGGATGGCATCAATCCTGGTACCCATATCTAGGTATCGGGAATCTCGGTGGAAGAACACGATGGAAACCATGGCCATCTCAGTTCCATGAGCATCCTGTTCGGTCTGCATCACCACCGATTGGGACACTTGCATCGCAGGCGAGATTTGGAGTTTAGTATCACACTGCATTCGAAACATGGCACCATATGGAGTGATGATTGGATGGTGGGATGCTGGAGGCCAGTCTAGCATAATGAGATTAGGTACTACGTAGTACTAGTAGTAAGGTACTACTGACTCTGGACACAGTCAACGCGTGGGGAAATGATACGGGACGCTCACTTAGTTATAGGCACCAGCTGAGGCTCTTTAGGCCGTGTCAGCCACCTAGATCGAGGTACCAAATACGTACTAGTACCGCGTAACTCACCGGTTTCATCAGCCACAACTACTGCCTAAGGCAACGATCCAAGCCACCACCGCCACACACTGCAAACTGCAAACTGCAAACTGCGGCTCAGCACAGACTACGCACCGCAACTGCAACCGTGCCACCAGCTGAACCTCATGCCACCAACTCACTTTATTGTTTGTGCCTGTCACTTCCACTCCCGAGAAACAACATCTACCACTAGTATTGAACCCTGTCAAGATCCTTCGAGTTGACCTCATCCCTTACCATCTGCGTCTCGATCGGATCTTGTCCCAGGTTTAAACCAACCACCGCGCCTGAGCAGCATCCCCATTCACCTAGGTCAGGTTGACTACACCTGGATTGCCCCGCATCAATCTCCTGTCGTTGCGGACGATTGATCTTTTCGCTCAGCACCGTTGCTCAATTCTGTTGCTAGCACCTCAGATCAAGCACATAAGGCTGTTTTTGAGATCACAAGCGAACACGAAGATATAGCCAAAAAGTCCTTCCGGATTGCCAGAACAGCGCTAGGCCAATCAAGCCGATCGACATATCTCGTCTCATTATCCCGCTCGGGTTGGCGCAAAGACGACAACACAAGGCTCCAGCCTCACCTAACATTTCATCAAGCCATAAATCAAAGACCTTTTCACTTGGTCTGACCCGTTCCATACAGCTCTCGGATCCCCAAGACATCAATTCAGACGCACTCAATGGCCGAGTCCAACACTTCCGACCCTACCGCTGGACAATCCCCCGACCAACCACGCATGGATGGCAAATTCCTATCGCCCTTCATCCATCGTCGCCCAGACGGCCAGCCCCTGACGGAAGCAGAGGTCGAGGCGGAAGAGGCCCGTCGAAAGGCTGACCGGCAAGCCACGCCAGAACCCAAGAACTTCGCCGTGGCCTTTCCTGAAAACCTACCCACTCCACCATTCCTCCATGTCGAAGGGGTTCCCAACTTTCGCGAATTAGGTGGATACATATGCCAGCCTCCTTCGACAGCAGATGTCTCGCAACAATCACCAACCTACGCTCTCCGTCGCGGACTACTGTTCCGTTGCGCACACCCAACGCATCTAACCCCAAAGGGTGCGGAGTATCTCACCAAAAAGCTTGACATTCACGACATGTACGACCTGCGATCCGCACCAGAAATCAACCGGTTGGCGGCCACCGTAGCCCACAGCGCGAAGGGTGTATATCCCCTCGCAGATCCAAACACGGGCTGCATCGACCACTGCCCCGGCCTAAAACGACATTTCACACCCGTCTACCAGAGCGAAGACTACGGTCCAGTCGCCCTCGCTACAAAACTGGCCTGGTACACGACAGTACATATGCACGACGAGGAAGTAGGCTACGCCTACTCGGAAGGCTTCGTCAAAGCGTACCGCGACATCGCCGTGCACGGCGCCACGCAAGCATATCGTCTCATGTTCCGGCATTTGCTCGAGAATCCATCGCAACCCTTAATCTTCCACTGCACGGCCGGTAAGGACCGCACAGGCGTGTTCGCCGCGCTGGTTCTCAAGCTAATCGGTGTCGACGAGGAGACGATCTGTTGGGAATACGCGCTCACGGAGCCCGGACTGGGAGACTGGCGCAACCAATTCATCGACCGGATGACGCAGACCGGCTTGGGCAGCGGCGGTGGCAGTAATTCCCCGGACCGTCCGGAGAAGATCTACATCGGTAGTGAGAGTAAGGACGGTAAGGACCGACCAGGCATGACGCGCGAAGAGGCCGCCTTGATCTGCGGCTCGCGCGCCGGAAATATACGTGCGTTCTTGAAAACCGTCGTCGATGCCGAATTTGGCGGCGTCGAGAGGTATCTCGTGGAGAAATGCGGGTTCAGTCCCGACGAGGTCCAGAGGCTGCGTGACAACTTAATCGCCGAGGTGCCGGAGGATCAGGTCGTCGTGCCATGTCCGATTGATGGCTGGTCTCCTGAGCATGGTTGTTCGGATTAATTGAACAGACATTTGCGAGACTGCTTCACAAAGCTAGGGCTGAAAGGACGGTGGGGAGGGAGAAAGATCGCTGTGTAGTAATTGCATCCGTCCATTGACAGGCGTTCGAACATGTTCAGTCTATTTTCCTGGCATAGCTGGATAGCCATGGATAGACAACAAGCTAGAATGCATACTGCTTTATCTGGACGAAATGCCGAGTAATCAACTCTTCGAAGATGCCCCTAAGCAAGTAGACGAGAACACCATATGAGTCTACCAATTTGCTCCTTCGTCTTCAGGTTCATCTCTCCACTGCACAAGAACCGTGTGCTATTATAGTAGGAAGGTGAAATCTGGCTTCTGCAGTGGAAGTCCGGGACTCGGAGGCAGACCTGGTTATATAGGCATCAGAGCAATAGTAATAGTAACCAGGAATTGCTTGTTTTGACTTGCTTGGACGCTTCAAAAGCACATTCAAGCGGAAGGAAGTGATACTGATATAGATCATATCAGCTAGCCCTAGGCCTTTCTTTGACCGCAACACCAAAGGGAGATTGGCCGATAATCTCCATCTGGCCTCCTCGGTGTGACTCTCACTCTCACTCTCCTACTCACCTCTTTCTTTCGTGTGACATCCCTTTCCCTCCTTTTGGCGTCCCACGCTCTTGTTTCCTTGGCTTTGCGCGTGCGTTTCTGTGTTTCGTGAGGAAGGGGGCTCACTCCAAGTCCACGAAACCTGAAGATCCCTTTGCGCTTTGACAGAGGTTCAAAAGCTGTTCTCACGATCTGTCTGTGCTGAGTTCGGTGTTCGTTGTCCACAGAACAATCTGTCATTCCTGCTTGCCTGCCTTTGACCGACATATTGCACCTTGTTCAATGTACGTTCGCTCGTCTCCTGTTTCAAGATTCTCGTCTCGTCTCCTCGCCACTGGCAGTCCCAGTCGCAGTTCCAGCCGCAGTGCCGGTTCCAGATCCAGTCCCAGAGCCAGCCCCAGATCCAGATCCCGATCCAGCTCCAGACCCAGACCCAGATCCAGTCCCAGATCCAGCTCCAGCTCCAGAAGCAAGAGCACCGCGTATACCAGGACTTGCAGGCCCCGGTCCTCGAGTCGGACTGGCGCTGGCACTAGCGACGCCCCTCTTATCCTGCTTCTTGATGAGGTTCGCAAAGAACTGCGCCGTGGCCTCGTTACTCTGTCTGCTCGCGGCCGCCGTCGAGGACAATGGCGTGTGTGCTTGTCCATCTGCACCACCACCAGTCTCACTGCCTTGTCGACGCATGGGCGTACTGACTCCCGGCCCTGCACCTGCACCTGCACCAATATGTGCAGAAGTACTCGTGGTCGTGTTGGTCGTGGTAGAAGCGGTCAAAGAAGCGATTCTATTGCGTTCATTCTCGCGCTCCCGCAACCGTTTCGTGGCTTCTTCAGCGTCAAAGTCGATCCCGTTGACATTGATCTGGTACGGACCGATGCGTTCCGCCATTGTGGGATTGGCGACTCCTCCAGCGCCTCTGGTGGATGATGATGGATCGTCATTATTACTGTCGACAATGCCACTGGAGCCAGTTCGTGCTCCCACGCCTGGACGCGACTTCCGCTGTTCTTTTTCGTCTTCGGCCTTCAGTTTCTCCAGGGCTTCGTACTGCGTTTGTAGGAATTCTTGCACGGATGGCACGACCACGGTCTCGTCATGCATCCGTGGTTGAAAGGAAGGTCGATAGTCGGCCGGGTTGCGCAGGGACGATTCATAGATATGCACTGCCGATTCCGAGGTCGATTCGGGGCCTGTGCCATTTTGCGATGGTTTGTCTTGATCTTGGTTCGTGGGTGTGGACAAGTCCAATGTCTGCTCAGGCGGGTCTTGGATCTCGACAGACCACGCGTTCGCCACGGCTTCCGGATCGAAGCCGTCTTTCAGGATGCGTATCTTGCCCCAGGAATCCCAGTTCGGCGGTACGAGGATCTTGTCCCTGTCGACGATATTGTGTTTCGCAACTTCTCGCTTCAGAAGCGAGTGGATGCTGAGACTGGTATGGATCAGTGTCCGCACGTTGTTCGGGTCGAATGTGGCCGTGTAGACCAGCGAGGATCCGTGTTTCAGCAGCACACAGCGCAGCCACTGCATCAGGAAATCGAAGTCGTCTTCGCCCCAGCCGTAATCTCGCTCTAGAAGTTCAATCTTTTCCGCCTGGACGCAGACCACAGAGAGCGGGACACCGAGTCCTTCGTCCCATTCTCCCGGTCCTAAGGGTGCCGCTGCGGCCGTAGATATTGATTTCTGTTCAAGTTCAATATTTTGATTTGTGCTGTTGTTATTGTTGTTCGTGTTGTTCGTGTTGCCGCCACCAGGCTGAGCGGATGGAGCATCAGGACCGACTCTCTTCTCTTTCCACGCTGTCATGGTCTCTTCCATCTCTATCTTGGTTTGCTCGTCTAGACTCAAGATCACGGATCGCAGGAGCCGGATCCACTGGCGTAGCTGTCGGGCCCATTTGAACGGCTCTTCCCAGTCCAACAGGATGGTTATCAGCGTGTCCTTGACCGTCTTGGGCGTGAACAGTGGCTTCAACAACGATCCAAAACTCGCACTGGGTTGGGCCAGCATGTATACGTTCAATCGTGCCAGCACGTCTTCTTGGTCCGCGTCGAGGACATCGTAGTAGGTGTAGCCCAGAGCATATCTGTTCGAGATGGGTGTCTTTCCTGATCCCTGCTGTTCTGCTCCTGCTCCTGCTCGGGGCTGTCTTCGTCGATCGTGGGCAGCGTATCGAGGACGTAGATTCGGAGGGTTCAATTGTTCGAGAAACTCGCGTTGGGACTCCGGAGTGCCGCCGAGAATGATCAATTGCTTTTCGGTCAGGTCTTTGCCCTTGGAGGCGCTGTTGAGCAGCGGAACCCATATTGCTTGTTTGCCTCCGGAGCCATCTTTGCTTATGGGCCGTCTTTGTGAGATATGTGTTGTGGGACTCGAAGCGGACGGCGATGCTCGGGAGAAGCCCGGATTCGAGAGTGGTTGTGATGCGGTCAACATTGTAACGTTAGAGACGCGCTGAACGGCTCAATAAGGTCGCCTGGTCGGATGAGAGATCATGTCCATGAAATGGAGAGCCTTGCTGAAGGGCAATATAAATCCTGTCGAGCGTGAAGTGACGCGTAAGGTAGAAGTCGGGCTCCTCGCATCTGGCAAGTCTGGCACGTTGAATTGCAGTGTACATCGATTGATGTTTCTCCGCAGGTTAAACGTGGAGATGTTGTCGGAGTTAAAGTTGGAAGGTCAGGGTTTAAGCATAAATTTAAGCATCATCCTTCACATTCTCTCCAGGCATCTACAAATTGTGCCTGACAACTTGAAGTGCCTCGCTCAATTCTACCCACATCAAGACACGCGATGCCATCCAACATACCTTTAACAGAGATGCAACAGGCTTAAGCGCATAAATTCTCCGGCCAGATCACCCAAGCAAGAATCTCTTAGGGCTTATAAAATGAACGCAATCCGCCAAACTCAGCTTTTGAATAAGCGCGAACTCGAGAATGCCACCCCTCCCTCTGCATCATGGCACGCCGACTATCGCGATACCGCCTACATTTATATTGGCGGGCTACATCCAGACCTGACTGAAGGAGACGTGGTAACGATCTTCTCGCAGTTCGGCAACCCTACACATCTCAACCTCATCCGTGACAAAGAAACAGGCAAGAGCAAAGGATTCGGTTTTCTGAAATATGAAGACCAGCGCAGTTGCGATCTTGCCGTGGACAATTTCACCGGCGCCGAAGTGTTGGGGAGGTTATTGAGGGTGGACCATACGAGGTACAAGAAGAGAGACGACGAGGATGAGGACACTCATCGAATCGACCGCTGGGAGCAAGAGGCTGAGCCTGAATCTGGGGCCGAGGTGAACGGTAATGGAAAGAGACACAGCGACGACAGTGACGACGAGGATGGGGAAGAGAGACATCGGAGGAAGAAGAGAAGACATCTACTGAAGGAGGAGCAGGAGTTGGAAGAGATGTTGGCGATCAAGGAAGGCAGGGAAGACGAGGATCCAATGCGAGAATACTTGATCCGGGAGAAACGAGAGGAAGTGGAAAGGGCGCGGGAGCGGGAGAGACATTCGAGGCATAGACACAGGCATCGACGGAGAGAAGACGAGGACGATGATGGTGACAAAAGCGAGGGGCGGGAAGAGCGACGACACAGGCATCGGCATCGGCACGAACGTGATGAGCGGCACGACGACCGCGACGAGCGGAAACCAAGGCCGACAAGAGATGGTCCAGACGACGATGACGACGAGAGAAGGCACAGAAGGCACGCAGACAAGGACTCTTATGAGGTTCAGGACCGTCATCATAGGAGCCGTCGAGACGACAGTAGGGAAAAGAAATCGTCGCGAGATCACCGTTCGAGGTATGATGATGATTGAGACCGACGTGTATATATAGTATCCAAAGTGCTTTCCTGGTTGGGTTTTGTCAATTGATCCTACACACAAGCCTGCAGCGATGTTCATCGAATCGACGACGACTAGGTTCAATCCTGACCATCTCGCTCTCTGAGCAGCTGAATGCCTTTGTCCCTCAGCTTGAATTTCTCTGCGCAAACCACAGTCAGTACTACTACTGGTCAACCCGAACAAACCGCAGACTGCTGAGGAACTGTGTCGAGCAGCGAGACCAAAGGAACATTTCAGGGGCGACTCACGGATCTTTCCGCTTGCTGTCTTCGGGTATTCATCCACAAAGAAAACGTACTTCGGCACAAGATGATGGCTCATGCGTTGCTTGACCCAGTCTCTCACCTCTTCAGTGGTTATAGGCGTCTGCCCCTGTGGTAGGTGGTGTCGGCGAACAATAAATGCAGCCACGACTTCACCATATCTCGGGTCGGGAAGCCCGACCACACTGACCTCTGCTATCTTATCGCTCGCAAAGAGACAATTCTCGATCTCGAGAGGATGGATGTTTTCCCCTCCACGGATGATCAGGTCCTTGATGCGACCTGTGATGCTGACATAGCCATCTTCGTCAATGGAAGCTTCATCCCCACTATGCATCCAGACCTTTCCGTCCTCGTCAATCTTTATCACTTCGGCCGTCTTCTCGGGCTGGCCCCAGTATTCCTTCATAACCAGATATCCGTGGACAGCGAGCTCGCCACGTTCGCCTGTACCGAGAATCTTGTCATGATCAAAAGGATCGACAACTTTGGCTTCCACGTGCGGGAGAAGTCGACCGACTGTGTTGATCCGCTTGTCGATTGGATCATCGGTTGTTGTCATTGCAGACACCGGAGATGTCTCCGTCATTCCATAGCAAATGGTCAATTCGGTCAGGTTCAGTGTTTTGTGTAGCCTGCGCATTAGTTCTGCTGGAATTGACGAGCCTGCCGCGATACCCGTGCGCAAGTGTTCGAAGCCTTCGTATGCCACTTTCTCATCGTCAATCAGTTCCAGTTCAGCCAGGAACATGGTCGGCACTCCATAAAGAGCAGTAGCCTTCTCTTCTTGTACGGCCTTCAACGCGGCCATAGGATCAAATGCTTCTGTTGGGAAGACAATGGCTGACCCATGGGTAGCGGTCGCCATGTAGCCGAGAATGCAGCCGAAACAATGAAACAGTGGCGGTGGACAGCAAACGATATCCTCTGAGGTCAGAAGCATCCGGTCGCCTATTTGGTTGCCGTTGTTGAGGATTGACCTATGCGTCAAACATGCAGCTTTGGGCATAGAGGTGGTCCCTGACGTGAATTGGATGTTGACCACCTCGTGGTTCGATAGCGGAGACGTAGGAACAGGAGGCCGATCATCCGTATCCTGCGAGATTGTGGACCATGGCGTAGTCGCGCAAAAGGGAGCCGGGTCAATGCGACCGGCCGAGTTGTCCACGAGAACGATGTTTCTCAGAGAAGGGATTGCTTCCGAGGACAACGTCGAACTCGACAGATCTGGCGCCACAGACTCCAGTATTGGCACATTGGATCTGGGTGGCTTGTACGGAAGGTTTGTTTCTGTCCCAATGACTAGATGCGTGGCAGACAAATGGTTCAAGGCTGAGACAATCTGGGACGCTGTAAAAGCCGGATTGAGCGGCACAAGAATTGCTCCCAGTTTGAACAGAGCGTAGGTGATGGTAGCGAATTCCAAGTTGTTGCCCAATGATACAGATACACGGTCACCCTTCTTGACTCCCAGGCTTTGTAGACCCCTAGCCAGAACATTACTGTCGAGGTCCAATTGGTTGTATGTCAGACGCTTTTTCTGATGTCTGGAGACGACGGCCTGACGGTCGCCGTGCGCAGAGACAACGCGAGCAAAGTTCTCGCCGACTGTTTCTTCGAGGAGAGGAGGAGCAAGAGGCCCTTTTATCTTTGCTATTGTGGAAAACCCGCGCCGTGGCCGCAGAGGGGAAAGGCAGAAGGGCCATAATGCTGACCGCGCTCGACGAACCGGCCGCATGTTGTAATCCGCATACTCGAGGTGAAGGGTCCGGGTCTATCGCAGAGAAGGCAAGGTGCTCAACGCGTCTGTTGGTCGGTTGCGAGAATGTCAACCATTCTGACCAGGGCGTCCATCGTGAGGATCTGCAGCTGAGGAGCAGGAAACACAGTGACTGCGAGAAGGCCATCTGGGTGGGAAAGCATCCCCAAGCGGAAGAGCGGACGAAAGCCGCCCTCGGTTGGCACAGAGGTACGCATGAACATCGTGAGGGGACATGTTGGCGGGAGGCCTATGTACCTAAGGTAGGTGGTACCTTAAGGAGGTAGGGATGGAGTGTGGGGGATGTGACTTGAGCTCCCTAGCTCTTTTGCGGGGTAACGTGGGTTGAGAGTCTGTACCCCAGACTGGGGAATTTCTGCAGAAGGTGCAAGCGCAACACCAGGTGCAAGCGAAGGTCTTTCGGGTAGCAGACGGTGTCGAACAACAGAAACAGACTCTGCGTTCGCAGCGAATTGTAGCCTGAATTAACATGGTCACCCCGGCAAAGCCAGTTGATGGTCATGCAACACCACCGCGGGGAAAGCGAGTGCAGTCATCGTCCTGGCTGTGTACTAGTACCACATATATGGAGGAACATCAACCCTGATGGGCCTCATGGTCCTTTGATGTCCTCCATGAAACTTCAAGCCTGACCGCCCGACCGCCCGACTCTTGCCCTGGGAGCCTCTAGCCTACAGCCTGTTTCTCGCGGATAACCTGGGGCGACCGCCGATATGATTCTCCAAAGAACGGGTCGAGGCGAGCAGATCGCAGCCAACCGAACCCAGGAACAGCGTGAAGCAAGAGCAGCCGCCAACTCCCAACGCCCACTGACCTGCATGTTTTATTTCTTCGCATCTCAGATGAAACACAACATCCAGCCAGCCGACCAAGACCTTGTACGGCGGGGAATGGTGGCGGACAAGCCCACTCACCGACTGGACTCTATGTTGGCGAGAATTGGCATGTATGCTGCTCATTCACCGCTGATCACCAAATTCGAGACTTTTCCTATGGAAATCGGAGACCAGCCCGTCCTTTCAAGACCACAGCCGGAGTCTCTATCTCGAGAGGACGTCCATGACACTGTGCTCCTCGTCAAATTCAAGAACAAGGGCGCTCGAGAATCATGGATAACGACCAAAGAATGGCAAGATTTCATGGAGAAGACAGAAGGCGAGCGAGTCTTTAGACAAATGCCTCATGTCAGATGTGCCAGCAGCGCGAGGGGTCTGATGGACCCAATCGATATGTTGACCGCTTGAAGAGACTGCATTCCATTGACATTCTTGCGCAAGGACAGCGCCGTCTGGACAGAGAACAAAACAAGCTGGACGCGTTGCGGGAAGCCGCAAAGAAGGTGCCTATTGGTAGGTAGACATGGTAGGCAGACAGGAGGACAGACATGCTTGCTGAGACGTCCCAGGACAATCAAAAACAGCCTTGATTGATGCAGACATCGAAGATCATGGACACGGAGAGACTGAGGGCTGCCGGTGATCAGTGTTCGATCCAAGACTTGTCCAACACACGCGATGGTGTGCCAGCAATCATGCCGACAGGAGCATGGTTGCAGGAGCCCGATGTGTCCCTCTCTGCCGTTGTCGAGCAGAGGATCTTCACATAGCTCTGAATCCCTATAGCCAGCCCCGTGGCATCGCAAGGGTTGTGCGGTCCGTCGCCTGCGACTAAAGGCTGGGGCCAGAGATCTAGGAGATCCGTTCAAGTCGACAAAGTTTCAGTAGTCCTGTATTCCAGTTTCACCCTGCAATTCTTCATTCTTGCTTTTCACGGCATCATCTTGATCCTCGACAAATTCGGGTTCCTGCTCGTCGAAATATCTGTCCTGCGCCTCCCGCTCTTCAGTCGCTCGATCGTCATAGTCTGGATTGTTGTCGACAGCACTGTAATCGAAGTCGTCGTCTCCGCCTCGGACGAACCTCCTTTCCATTTCCCACTTCCATCTCGCAAGTCCCTCCTCTTTATCCGCAGGCACTTCGTCCGTATCTTCAGCCAGGATCTCGCCGTCAGGACCTCTCTTATAGGTAAACAAGCTGTTCGGATCAGGATGTCTCAGCGCGTCGAGTTTCGCTTCGCTTCGATAGAGGTCTGCTTCAAGGACGCCGGAGAACCCTTTCTCGCGACCTTCCGCCTCGCGCTCGGCCGGGGTCTGGAAGCGGCGTACGAGACGGTCATATAATAACGGATCTGCACGGCGTAGAATGATCAATACATTGCACATACTCACCGATAGATCATGAGGCTGCCCCTTCGCATGCTACGGAAGACCAGCCTTGCGGCTGACTGGGCCAGGAGACGATTACACCTTACCTGCCAGCTCGAGGTGCGACCCAAAGTATTCCGGGTGAAGTTCAAGGTATCGCTTGCGTCGATTCTTGATTCGAATACGATCTGGGACCTGGGATTCTGGAGCGCATATTGAGGGATCATGATTCTGAAGAGGTACGCCGGTGCCCTCTGCAAAGAGCGGCATGCTGAGACATGCAGATTACATGGAATAGCTGAGGAAAACACTGCGCGGGAGTGTTGGAGAGGATGTTCACCATGGCATGTACCTACACTACTACGTAATATATCGTACATGCGGAGTACTATCTCAACAAGGCTGCCACCCTTCTGGAGGCGAAAAGGTTGGCATGCAGGTACGTAGTGCTCCGCCGGAGGATGGGACTGCTTATTAACCAGGATGAACATCATCGATGGACTTTCGCCGTCATAAAGAGCCAGAGCCTCATCGACTTCGGAAGCGTCAGAACATGGCAGGGTACACTTGCCCATCTGCCCGTATACTTACGGTCGAACGACTCTGATGCAAGGCTCTATCTACATCAATGGCCTGACGCAATAATGCCACTGGTCCGCGACGAGCCCAATTTAGGTACGAGGGCGAAACCCAAGGGCCATGATCACGGTTCATCGCTAAATTTTCTCTCAGGCGGCCAGTTTCACTTCATTTCCATCCAAAATCCAGATGATGCGAAGGACCGCACTGCCAGGCGCCTAGCTCGGTCACATGCTGTGGCTCGTAGCCTCGAGAACAAGCGAAAGCTTCAGCAGAAATCGGGCCTCAATTTCCGGGTAGTATCTCTGAGCGATGACAATGGCCGACATGCGAGTAAGAGACCACGAAGCCAAACTCTTCAAGTGGTCGCGTCACCACGCTCTGTCTCTGCGGATGCGCCTAGCTTGTTTCGAATGCTTGCTGCAGAGTCTCCGAGACTGTTAGCCTTGCTGAGTCAACGTAAGATCTACCTCCAGGAAGGCGCTCAGAGCTACGATGGACCCGGCACAGACTAACATACAATGGTTCAGACCAGGCGCAACAGACCAGGGAGCCGGTCTTCAGCGTTTCAGACGAGCTTGTCCTCCAGAATTTTCGCTCGGTCCTTCGAAAGGGCCTAGATGACCACGCTCTTGTGAGCGCCGTCATGCTCACATTTGCCTTTACCGTCGGTGCTGGCAGCGTCGACATGGAGTACCTAGGGTATCAGAGTGAGGCTCTGAGTTCCCTTCGTCAAAGGATGAGCTCTCCAGATAGAGCGATTTCGGAATCGACCTTAGGCGCCATTCTGCTGCTCGCGGGTATAGAGGTCTGCATCACATTCTCTCTGACGTCTCCAAATTTGGCAGGCCAGCAGCTTCACGAACCTCCTACTGACCCCTGATTCATACTACAGGCTAGACTTGGAATGCCGCATCAAGTCCAACTTCACATGTCTGCAATACAGCAGCTTCTTGACGTCTGTCGAACCAAGGGTGTGTACTTGAGTGACGGTATCAAACGGGCCATCTTCTGGTGAGCGGCACGGCTACGTTTCTGAATGGCTGATTCTCACAATTGTCCACAGGCAAGACCTGAATTCATCCGTCCTGACAGGGTCGAGCCGAGTGGTTGACCACACCACCTTTTCCGAGCTTCACTGGACAAGAGATGCTTGCTCACCTGATTTATTCATCCTCCCATCTGGATTCAAAGCCCAGTCCCATCTACTGGGGGATGAGTTCGTCGAGGTGCTCAAGGATCTCCATGCACTGCAACGCATCCGAGACTCTGCAGATCCATCTAGCCCAAAGGATATGATATCGATGGCACGGATTGATAATCACCAAGCATTCATCCAGTCAAGACTGGTGAGGTTACCAATTCGTTCCCCCATATCCGAAGCCTGCCGTGTGGCGGCATATCTATGCTCGACCATGCTGCGCTGTAAACTGTGGCCAGCTTCAACCATTCCGGTGAGTCAACCGCTTTGCTGATCTCTGTCACATCCCAGTCTCTCGTCGGGCTGCCCTGCTGACTTGAGATTATATAGTCCCATATATCAGCACGACTGCTCTTCAAACTAAAAGAATGCAACGATGATCCTATATGGGACGATCGGCCTGATTTGTTGGCCTGGCTCCTGCACATCGGCGGCGCTTTTGCTCCTACGAAAACCATACGATCAAACTACGTGGCATTGTTGCGCTCGAACCGCAGCACCAGGCTGAGGGACTTGTATACATCGTGGCCAGAGTTGCTTGAGACTCTCAAACGGTTCATTTGGTCCGAAAAGGCTTTCGCGTCACCAGTGAAGGCGTTCTGGGAAGAAAGCTCCTTTTAGCTTGGTACCGCATACCTATGCATGAATGACAAGGAAAACAGTAAGTATTCAATTCTCGCATGACCAATTCTCTGAGCTCGGTGATTCTATATCGCGCATTTGTAATCTGCCATCTGCTGCAGCGGCGACGTGGATCTTGGGATGAGGTATCGGGCGGGTCTTGAGTGCCAAACACGGACATTGATACCTCTAAAAGGTAAAGTGCCGTGTAAAAGCTGCCTAAGAGTTGCCGCTTTCCCTAAACGGGATATATCTATGTTCCGTTTTGGGAGATATCTGGTTTCCCCAACTGGTTAGAACAAGTTTCCAAGGGGACGAAGTATTCATCCGACTCGGACAACTTTGGCCCATCGACGAGATATAAAGTCTTGGATATCTGCTGGCATGCCTCTATTCTTCTCGCAATGCTTCAGAAAAGGCACTCCAAAAGAAAAAGAAACAAGGAAATATCAGCCATGCCTCAATCGCGTCTCTTCCAGCCGCTCAAGATCGGCAATGTGGAAGTCAAGCACCGCATCGGCATGGCGCCTCTCACGCGCATGCGGGCGACCGACGACCGGGTCCCTACAGCACTGATGAAGGAGTACTACAGCCAGCGGGCCGCCGTGCCAGGCACACTGATCATCAGCGAGGGGACCTTCATCTCAGGCAACTGCGGCGGGTTCGCCAATGGGCCAGGACTGTGGCGCGACGACCAAGTAGCGGCGTGGAAAGCCGTCACCGACGAGGTCCACGGCCGGGGCTGCTTTATGTTCTGTCAACTGTTCGCGATGGGCCGCGCCGCGGACGCGGAAACCGCACGGAAGGAGGGCGTCGACGTCGTGGCCCCCAGTACGATTGCGATCGACCAGCCAGGCGCCGCGGTGCCACGGGCCATGAGCGTCGACGAGATCGAGCAGACGGTGCGGGATTTCGTGGTGGCGTCCGAGAACGCGATCCGCGCCGGGTTCGACGGCGTCGAGATCCACGGCGCCAACGGCTACCTGCTCGACCAGTTCTTGCAGGACGTCAGCAACCACCGGCACGACGCGTACGGCGGCAGCGTGGAGAACCGGTCTCGTCTGCTCGACGACGTGATCCGGGCGGTCGCCGCCGCCATCGGCCCTGCGCGCGTCGGCCTGCGTCTGAGTCCCTGGAGCACGTTCCAGGATATGAAGATGGATGACCCGATCCCGCAGTTCACCGACGCCATCACCCGCGCCCGCCACGCTGGCATCGCCTACCTTCACCTCATCGAGTCGCGCATCGCCGGTGCCGCGGACTACTACCGCGCCGATGGCCAGGGCCAGGGCCACGAAGAGCGCCTGGATTTCGCCTACGATCTCTGGGACGGTCCCCTCCTTGTCGCTGGCGGGTATACGCCGCAGTCTGCGCGGCGGCTCGTCGACGAGGAGTACCCGGACAAGGACATTGTGGTTGTATTCGGCCGGCATTTCATTGCAAACCCGGACTTCGTCTATAGGGTCAAGGAGGGTCTAGAGCTCAATATGTACGACAGAAACACCTTTTACGTCCGCAACTCCCCGTTGGGCTTATTGGATTACCCGTTCAGCAAGGAGTACCTGGCAGAAGGGCGATAAAAGGTCCAATTGACTTTGTGGGATCTGGAGACATATAGACTAGACACGCGCAAATGATACAGAATTACACTGTTCCTTCTCTCCTTCTTCATTGCCAGGAGAACCCTGAGACCGACCTAGAGCTGGTCGTGCTGGACGTTGAAGAATAAGGCCAATGCACCATATATTAGACGAGACACCATACGAACTAATCAGTGATTGGAAGAAGAGTTGCCTGTAGGCTGTGGCACAGACCGACACATGCCTGAGCATACAATCAAGCTTGCGAATATTGACTACAGGCATCATATCCCTCCAAGGAGGCATCAATCACGGTAAATTCGAGACTCCATCGAACTTCGTAATATAAAATTGTCCTAACAAATATCGAGGTCATCGAATCTTCATGCATCGTGAGTCGTGATTTCAATTGAGACGGTGAACAGTCCCAAGTTCCTGTTGGAAGAGATACACCTGCAAAACTCCGTAGGTATCTCGCCATCTTGCCATCTCAGCGGAATCCTGTGCTTGGGAAAAACCGAGGCCCTCCATATCCATAAGCAAGAATGGCTTGAACATCAATGTTCGCACTGGGACACTGTGCCCATAGTTTGATGAGAATGAATCGACCAGAGCTATGACAAGTTAGTGCCATTGACACAAAAAGATGGTATCCGACAGGGAGCACTTACATCGGAGGGTCAAACTTGATGGTAGTGCTGCAATTGGTCCGGTTGATGAAAAACCGAGCATGTGGCGGTATAACATCAGACCTGCTGGACGAGCTCCCACCAGCTTGGCTGACAAAATGCTTAGAAGTTGGTTCACCAGAGCCCATTGATGTGCTGGGATGCTCCTCCGAACGATCAGGTGGGTTAGGTGCTCCTCCAGTAGGTGTAAAAGACCGCAACTCGATTCTGCTCGGTGTCGAGCGACGGTTATGTAGACCAATCTCGTCATCACGTCCTTCTTGATGACCACGACGTCCGAAAACCTCATCATTATCCCGAATCTGCTGCGCGCGCATGAGATCCAGGAGGCGATTCCGCTGTGCCAGATTGCTTTCGGTTTCGAGAACTTGTCGTCGGTGACGTTCCCGATCATCCAGAGGTTCAGCCTCCGGCTCATATCCCTCAGAGTCGCTTGAGCTGGACCAGAGGCCGTCATTCCGTTCACTCGCCAGATAAACAGGCCGAGGCCGGTCAACATACGCCCTGAGCGAATATTCCTCATCTTGCCACGGCGGAATCGGAGATTGGCTTCGTCTCACGTCCTCTTCGTCAGAGCGATCTGCAACCGAAACGGTGAATCCAGGAACAAGAGAGACGCCCAGGTCATCGTCGTTGTCCTCCTGGCCCTCCGCCTCCTCCTCATTTGCTGGGTTGTTTAGAAACAACGACCGATCAATAGGATCGTGAGCGGCTCTTGCTAACTGGAAGTATTCTTCGGAGAGGCTGACTCCCTCCGCCCGTCCGGGATAATGGCGATACGCTTTGGGAGACCAGCGTATCTCATACCTCGATGTGTTGTCAAGGAGCTTCTCGTCGTCCATAGCAACAAAAACCATGCCTTCTTGGATGGGACAATCGTAACCAGTTGCAGGGGCCTTGACAACTATTTGGGTCAAGCTGAACGGCATACCGCCGACATGTTTGAGGACCAGATTACATCTGTTGTTCTTGGTGCAATAGACAGTATTGTCGTCCCGGAGGACATTCTGGGGATAGGAATTGACGGGGACATGCGGGTCAGAGTACTCTCCACCATCACAACTGGCAACTTCCATTCGAAGTTGACCGGGTATCACTTGTCCCAAATGTCCATAGCTGAAGGTTTGATTGTTCTCCTCGTAAGAACCATCGTCTAACTTTCGCCGCTTCGGCCTCAAGCGATCGCCTCGACTGGTCTGGGCTGGAGACGCAGGTGAGAGTTCCGATGGCGAGACGAATGTATCCGAGGTAGCTGCTCTGCCGCTTTGCCCGATTCTTTCTCTCTGATATCGTTGCAGCCGTTCGCTCGGTCGGACAGCTCTTCTTCGGGCCCGGACAAGGCTGGCAGAAGTAGCAGACTGAGGAGGACTCTCCGATACGGAGTGTGCATCTCTGTCTTGGATGTGTGTCTCGGGATCACCTCTTCTCCGTCTTTCACGGGCAGCTAATCGGTCGGCTGCCATCTGATCCATCTCTCGATCAATTGCCTCGAATGCCCGTCGTTGGTCGGCGCCTAGATGGCGCTCGGAACTGAGAAGGTTTCTGAGATTTTGCAGCCGTGCTGAGATATTGGGCCACCGATAGCGGTCAGGAGAATCGGTCTGGTAGGCATTCACATTAGCAATGCCCGTACTAGTATCACAGTAAATGAACAGGCGGGAGATGGCAGCGGAGTAGCGATGAAACGCACCATGGTTGGACAAAGAATAAAGGTGTGGTCCCAGCACGATTGCGGGCGGTCCTCTTGGAATGGACAGCATGCAAGACGGCGATATTTCGATGCAGAGAGGAGACGGCTGCAGACAGTCCAGCATATGTTGGTTGTTGACGGATGTTATACGATCTTGTTGAAGTTCCTTAATGAAAGAGTGGGAGTCAGCGATCACCAGTCAGAACGATGGACTATGCATTACGAAGTAGTACGTACATGACATCCACCCCGCGGTGGTGCGGTGTACAGAGTATGGTCCACATCCTCAATCGTGCGTGACAGAGGTGATGGGCACGCCCGGAGAATTGTGAACTGGTCCAGTTGCCGCCCGTTTCGAGCCCAGACCACTTTTGTTTCAGTTAAAGCCGCCCGCTAGATATTGCCTAAAGTGCTAGTGAGGGTGGCTAATGGGCTGGGGACTAGGGTGGCTTGTCTAAAGAAACGACCCGGACGCCCCTAGCAAGACACACTGCAGTAGTAGAGCCTTAGGAGCCCCTGCAGGATCGACCGCCCGCTGAGGTTGTGTCAAAAGTAGAGCCAGATCAAACACTTTGCGACAAATGCGCAAACAGCAAACATTCTCTCCAGTCTCTCTCTCGGCTCACATCTGGCAATATTTACATGACTGGCTGCGCCATTGCCAACTTTTTCCTACCTCCAAAGACACTCTCTGATCAGTCACCTCCACCTCAAGAAACCTTCTCCCTGCGTCATCGAACAACGCTTCTTCCTCGATCGCATGCACGATGAACGGTGACAACCGCTTACCTGAGGATCCTCTCACCACAGATGCCAACGCAGTTCCTCAATCTGCACTTCCTGAACCCAATACCTCAGCCTTCATACCTCTCATGCCAGGCGCTGGCGACCTCAACGGCTTTATTCCAACGATGGACGCGAGTTTCGGCAACATGGCACTTCCTCTCAACGGCGTCCAGCCTGGAATGCTTCCGACTGCGCAGACAGGAACCATATCCGCCGATGAGATAGCCCTATACGACAGACAAATCCGACTGTGGGGAATGCAGGTTCAACAAAGATTGCGTCAAGCGAACGTTCTCCTCATAGGAATGAGAGGTCTCGGCAACGAAATCGCAAAGAATCTTGTTCTGGCGGGCATTGGGACGTTGACAATCCTGGATCATGGACTGGTGACGGAAGAAGACCTGGGAGCTCAGTTTCTCATCACATCCGCTCATATCGGTCAAAATCGGGCAGAGGCGGCTCTACCAGAACTGCAGAAACTCAATCCTCGAGTTGAACTCTACACAGACCCAGACGACATCAAGGAGAAATTGCCAGAGTATTTCCACTCATTCGACATCACAATTGCAACGGGGTTGACGATGGACGTACTATGCAACATCAACATGGCATGTCGAGGCTATGGTCGGAAATTCTATGCCGCAGATACCCATGGCATGTACGGGTTCATCTTCGCAGACCTTTGTGTCCATGACTTTATGGTTGAGAAGCCACGCAGCAACAAGCCTACAAAGATTGGCGACATGGAGACACCCACGAGATGTGTGATTGCCGTTGACTCGAAGAAAGAGGGCGATACCATAACCGACATTGTCACATATCAGGAGACGTACACACCTTTGCAGTTGGCCAACCTGTCACCTCTGCCTGCAAGATCAAGAAACACTCGCCGAAGCAAGATGCGAGTGACGCCTCTTCTCTCCTGCCTACGAGCATTGTTTGATTTCCAGAGCCAGAGTGGTGGTCATCTCCCAGTCATCCAGAGACCAGCCGACCTGGCCATGTTCACAAGACTTTCAAATCAAAAGCATCTTGAACTCGAGCTGCTTCCAGAGACTTTGAGAGCAGATTTCCTGCGAAGCTTCCTTCAGAATCTCGGAGCCGAACTCAGCCCAGTGGTGGCGTTTCTAGGAGGATATTTGGCACAAGACGTGATCAATGTTCTTGGCCAGAAAGAAGCGCCTCTTCAGAATTTTCTCTTGTTCGACGGCGACGACTTCACTGCAGCTCAATACAGCCTGCATGCCATTAATGATGACGCTATGGCAATGATGAATACGAATGGGGCTCCGATTCTGCCTGGACCGGTGTTGGTCGATGGCGCAGTGGCCGTCGACTGAATGCAAAGGATGTCGAGCTGAACTCTTGCTATTGAGGAGTATTTTCCAGAGTGTAGGAGGTACACTCGGTCTGCTCAGCGCAGACAGCACTGCTTACTACTACCTACTACTAGTAGTACCTGACAGTGGCATCCTTGCGACCAGATTGAGGTTGAAATCGGCCAATCACCATCGTGCTTGGCATCCGGAATTTTAACAATCCATCAGGTACAAAGAACTTGAACGGCTCAGGAACAGACTTGATTCACAGAGGAAAGATCATCTCAACGTTGGTTGCTGGCGGTATGGACTGAGGAGGATGGTCAGTATGCACGAACAGGGATCTGCTGCCACACTTCATCACTGATGAAAGCCGTTGTGAAAAGCGACGTGCAAACGAACCAAATACTTACCTTCGCTTGCTTGCTTTCGTCCTTCTTGCTCAACGATGCCACCTTCGGCCTTTCCAACCAAACTATCCGATCTCACCTTGAATGACTCCAGCCTCAATCCGTCGTTGTATGCCAGTCTTAGATCGATTCGCAAGTCCACACTGTCGATTACGAACCGTCTCCATTCTGTCTTGCTTGACGCCCGGTTTGCCAAACAAGTATCTGACCACTTCGAGCTGCCCCTTGTCGCCAACGAACGTTGCGGAAGTTGGTATATAGAGCCAGCCGACAAGGTTGGCAGTGCCTACTTCAAGAGCACAGACGGGCATCACGGACAATGGGACTTTTCGCTACGAAGACTTAATCTCCAGCTCCTGCCCATCCTAGGGAAGTACGGTGGTGCAGTGGTGGTGGACTCCACCCGTCGTGGTAAGAATCTGCCCGACGCATTCAGTAAGACGGTTCCCATCTGGGTGGCCGTAATCAACAGAGTACTTTTCCCCGAACTCCCCTCAACACATGCTTTGCAGCATCCCCCTCCACCAGATGACCTAGGTCTGTCTGAGGTATCGCAAATCGAAGCTAGACTAGAAGGATTTGCCCGGTCATTTCTTCGGCTGGGATTGGATGTGGGCAATTTCCGCAATGAGTTGAAGCATCCGATTCGCCTTTCATGGGCCATAAATGGTCGCTTCGACACCGATGATGTGTCCATCGCCGACGAAGCCGAGCGTGATGTCGACAAGTGGAACCACTTGGTTCTCTGCTCTGCGTCCCGTCGGGTTCACGGGGCAGAGGCATCCGAAGGCGGATATATTCAAGGAGCTGGCGACGACAGTGAAGGATGGTCACACGGTCTCACTGCGCAGTTGTTTTGGAAACACCGGAATGAGTTGATGCAGACCCCTGAAGCCGACCTGCCTGATTTCATCGAACAATTGATTGATCTGGAAGAGAACCAATGTGCTCTGGAAAGCCAATCCACGAAGGTTCTCCCAACATCCAACATTCACATTGGAGCTGGGCCCGTCTCTGAGACCCAAGGATTCGATCTCATAATCAACTGTCAAGGCGAACTTCCTCCGTTACCAAAGAGACTCGATTTGAAATGCCGATCTGGCAAATTGGGGAGCAAGGACCTTCGAGACAAGCTTGGAATGGTCAACGAGACCGTCCGAGCACTGCTTCTAGAGGATGAATCTAGCCAGATCCTGGTCACTTGCTCGAGCGGGAAAGACCTCAGCGCTGGCGTTGTGGTGGCTCTGTTGTGTCTGCTCTATGATGATCAAGGTAAGCTTGTGGTCCTTCTCTTGCAGCTCTTGGCTGGCTCCTCTTATACTAATACTTTGTCAAGGTCGTGTGCAAATAAACAGCAAAGCCGCCAGCATGGATAAGGATTTGGTCAAACGCCGACTGGCCTGGATCACTTGTGCCAAAGCGGATGTCAACCCTTCGAGGGCTACACTGCAGGCCGTCAATTCGGTCCTGATGCAGCGACCCGACTGAGGTTTCGTGGAAGGAATCAAACATGGACGCTTGGGCAGGTCGGGGTGCGTGGATTATCGAGCATAGCGTGGGTGATCAGGTACAGGCAGAAAGCCTGACATAAAGACCATATCTCAAAGTACTTCTGTTGTTGGATGCTGGATCAGCGATGTGGATTTCGAGGTGGATTTCTGGCGTCCAGTGGCCTGCGCGCGTCATTGCATCATCGAAAATTGTTCAGCGCGATGTCGACATGTCAACGACCGGCAGAACATTTGTAAGACTAGATTGCAATAGAAGATCAACCACAAGAAATGCAAAGACTGTTTCTTCTGGCTGCACATATTTCTCGTAACCCGACCTCTGCTCCGATCCGGTTTCCACAACAATGCCCTCGTTGTCGCTCTCCGACACCCTGCCACTCCCCAAGTCCTCGGTGCGCATCCCCCGCCTCGGGTTCGGCGTGTACCAGTCCTCGGCCTCAGTCTGCGTGCAGTCATGCCTCACCGCGTTAGAAGTCGGCTACCGACACATCGACACGGCGCAATTCTACGCCAACGAGACGCAAGTGGGCGAAGCGGTCCAGAAGTCGGGGATTCCGCGCTCGGAAATCTTCGTCACCACCAAGATCCTCTCCGCGGGCGGCAGCGTCGAGAAATCGTACCAGAAATGTCTAGACAGCGTGGAAAAGATTGATTCGGGCGGTTACGTGGATTTGTTTCTTATACACAGCCCCAACGCAGGCAGCAAGGCGCGGAAAGAGATGTGGCTGGCTCTAGAGAAGCTGTACGAGGAGGGCAAAGCAAAGAGCATCGGCGTGAGCAATTATGGCGTGGGACATATCGAGGAAATGAAGAGTTATGCAAAGGTGTGGCCGCCGCATGTGAATCAGATCGAGGTATGTGACTGTCCCTGTTTTTTGTCTCTGTGCAGGTTGCACCAGGAGACTTGTTGACTCCCTGTGCTCCGGTTTGACCCTGCGACAAGAAGGTCAGAGAAGGAACAACAGGCTGACCAGGAGATTCTAGCTTCATCCTTGGTGCCAACAACGTACCATCACCTCTTACTGCCAAAAACACGGGATCGTCATCGAAGCGTATTCGCCTCTCGTCCGGAATTACAAGGCCAACGACCCGACTCTAGTTGACCTGGCCAGGAAATACAACAAGTCAACTGCGCAGATCCTGATCCGGTATTGCCTGCAGAAGGACTGGGTGCCATTGCCCAAGAGCGACAATCCAGAGCGGATCACGCAGAATGCGGACGTTTATGGGTTTGACATTGCAGCGGAAGATATGGGCACATTGGACGATCTAGACCAAGGAGACGCAGGAGCCATTGTGCAAGCCGTGAGCAATGAGTGAATCCTGTCCGTTACATCTTAAAAAGCATATTGCGATTATCAGTGAAGATGGTCCTCAGTTGGCATGTCCAGGAGCAGTGATGGCTGAGATCTGACCAGGCTCGGTCGTATGCTGGAGCGCCGAAGAGAGCAAAGGCCAGGACACATGGCGCCTCAATGACCTCGACTCGACAGATGAAGTTCTGCACCGATGAAGCAGTCAAGCTAGCTCAACTGCATATCCAAAGAGTCCTGCAGTGCATAAATCACATATACCTGGACCCCAATCAATCAGATGAGAACGACTATAGCTGTTCTTCTCCTAGCTGTTCTTCTCCTTAAACCAACCCCCCATGAACCGGTCTCCCCGCTGCAACCTATAGATTATCTGCTCGGGATGCAATATGCCGTCAGTAACTTAATCTCGGGCTAGACGGTGACAGCGACCCCGAGAGCAGGGGGTTAGGGAGGGGGAGTTCCCCATTCGCGGCAACTCTCCGCCTATAAGACCCCGTCTATAGACAGTAGTAGACTGCTTAGAGCCCACTAACTTATGTACCTGGTCGCTAGGTACCTACCTGGTATTTTCCCCTCCACTGCACGTCATATGATTCTCCAAATCCCACTATATCCCCCTCCAAATACTAGTCCACACTGGCAGTAGTAGTATTCCATCTCAAAGCCCCGGCGAAGTGAATGGAAGCATCATCCAGCCGAAATTGGAATCTTGCGCCCGCAGACTCGAATCGCCCATTACTACTACTAGTCGACCATTCCTCCTACACCTCCATCCTTCCTCGACAAAACTACCCGGTAGTCAATGCTTCTATCTCGATTCTCCATCAAACCGCGACTACAGCAACTTGCCCGACAACTCTCCGTCTCATCCGCCAGCACACCGAGAACCTACGCAACCATGGTCGACCAGTCGAAATGGAAGTTCAACCACACGATGCTGCGGGTGAAAGACCCCAAGCGATCAATCGAGTACTACAACCTACTGGGGTTGAGCCTGATCAACAAGATCGAGTATCCTGAGAACAAATTCGACCTCTACTTCTTGGGTAAGACACCCTAGCTATCTATCACTCCCCAGTTCTTCCTTGCGAGGTGCGAGCAGTCATTTCCCAATGACCTTAATACTGACGGACACCACACATCTCTAGCTTACGACGGTCCCAACTCCGCATCCCCCGGCTCTCACTGGACGGACCGTGAAGGCGTGCTCGAGCTGACGCACAACTACGGCAGCGAAAGCGACCCGTCGTTCAGCGTCAACAACGGCAACAAAGACCCGCACAAAGGATTCGGCCACATCTGCGTCAGCGTGGACAACATCCAAGCCGCGTGCAAACGCATCGAAGACGCCGGCTACAAGTTCCAGAAGAAGCTGACGGACGGGCGCATGCGCAGCATCGCCTTCGCGCTCGACCCGGACGGCTACTGGGTCGAGATCATCGGGCAGAAGAACGTCGACGAGACCAAAGACATCACCACCACAGACACCTCGGCGTATCGGTTCAACCATAGCATGATCCGCGTCAAGGACCCCGAAAAGAGTCTCAAGTTCTACCAGGACGTGCTGGGCATGACGCTGCTGCGCACGTCGGAGCAGAAGGAGGCCGGATTTACGCTTTATTTCTTGGGCTATCCTGGTGACTTTGAGGTTCCTAAGCCCGAAGATACCCCGAACGGAGTGAATCCTTTGGCCAACAAGGAAGGATTGCTCGAGTTGACGTGGAACTATGGTACCGAGAAGCAGGAGGGCAAGGTGTACCATAACGGCAACGACGAGCCGCAGGGGTTCGGACATATTTGTATCAGTGTCGATGATTTGGACAAGGCGTGTCAATTCATGGAGGACAAGAAGGTCAACTGGAAGAAGAGGCTGACCGATGGCCGCATGAAGAACGTCGCCTTCGTTCTGGACCCGGATGATTACTGGGTGGAAGTCATCCAGAATGAGAAATTGAAGAAGACCAGTGATTGGTAGAAGAAAAGCAATCAATCACAAAAAGGAGAAGAATGTATACCATATTTGATGAGAAGATACCTTGACTAGGGGAGTCCTGCAAGGATTGTTTAGTGTAGATACCCTGTCATGACACTACATCTGTGATATATACTTTCGCTTAGATTCATTGGAGGGCTTTTTTCGGTCGGGTCATGAGACAAGAGACATATCTTGCCTTGCCTTTGCACTAGACAAGTATTTCTCGTTTCACCTGGCCTTCCTTTTTCCCAGACCTGATCTGGCAACAGGTTCATAATGCTTGGGTCATGAACTTCGGGCAACTTCGACCAACGTGGCAATGAAGATCCACATTGGGAGTGCATCACTGGAAGACGTCGCCGCGGAGAAGACGATGTGACAGGACCAAACATGGTCGAAATGGATCCTCTCACTCCGGCATTTCCGCGCCTCGTTGCAGGGATGTGCGTTGTTGGACGATTCTCGTACTCAGCAAGTGCCCCTTGAGGAAATAGGTGTGCGACAGCCTTGGCTATCCGAAGTTTCAATATGTAAGCGTTTTTGGAGTGATATCGAGAAGACACACAACCATCATTCGGATGCTAGATATGGTCAGTGACTGCTCCTCGAGAGTAAGCATGGCTGGGTCGAGTATATTTGAATTGAATGCCTTGAGACGAAGACGCTGTTTGATGGCCAGATTCAATCCAGTGAACCGATAGCATTAACTGCGAAGGAGCAGGAACATTGATTTGGTTAGACGCGGTTCCGCCTCACGATGATGTTTCGTTGGGCGTCGGCCCTTGTGCGGTCAGGAATCCAAAATCGCAACCCAGATGAGCCTGGTTGACTTCTCGCTCGTAAAGACCACGATATCCTCGTACATGCGCTCTCTCTAACCAGGGTTCCCTCCTGCCAGAGGTTGGACCATGGGTTGTCTTCGAAGAGGATATATCTTCCGCCCTCCTTTTCCGTTCGGCAATTCTTTGACTGATTTCGTGATCGTCAAGCTCAAGGGACAGCTTCCTGTTCTCGACGTCGCACACAATCGTGTCTCCTGACTGGACGACACCAAACACAGAGTCCAGATCCGCAGACTCCGGTGAACAGTGCAGTACAATGGTCCCTCCGGCAGTGCCGCTCATCCTCCCGTCACTGATGCGTAACATGTCGGCGACTCCTTGTCTGCCCAGCTTCTGCGGTATAGGGATCAAGCCTGCCTCGGGCATACCTGGATTCCCGACCGGACCTATACTCTTGAGGAGCAGCACCGAGTCGGCGTCTACTTCAAGATCGGGCGAGTCGATACGTTTGGCCATGTCGGCACTGTTCTCAAACACACAAGCTCTTCCGCGGTGCTGGAGCAGGTTGCGGTTCTTCGAAGCTGAAGCTTTCATGACGGCTCCATTAGGACTGAGATTGCCGTATAGTACGACGAGACTGGAGCGGGGGTAGAGCGGATCATCCAGAGGCCGGACGATCTGTTGGGAATATGAGAAGGACTTGAATGATGTGCTGTCGAGCAACTCGCCCAGCGTTTGCCCAGTATAGGTCCTCGCAGAGAGATGAAGGAATGGCTTGAGGGTATGCATCACGGCCAGCATTCCGCCGGCGTTATGGAAGTCGGTCATGTAGTTGTCGCCGCTGGGCTTGAGGTCGACCAGCAGAGGAGTCTTCTTCCCAATCTCATCAAACGTCTTGAGATTAATAGTGCCCGCCACTCCAGGGTGTCTGTTGATGATGGCCATCAAGTGAACCACAGCATTCGTGCTCCCACCGATGGCCTGCAGCACTGTGATGGCATTCAAGAAGCTCTCCCGCGTAAGCAATTCTTGCGGGCGCATGTGCTCCATCCTCAAGACAGCGACGGCATTGCGGCCAGTCTGTTCTGCGACTCTCAGTCGAGCCGAGCTGACTGCAGCCGCCGTCGCCCCAGCCCGCAGGTCAAGCAGCCCCAAGCCAGCGGTCACACAGGCCATAGTTGAAGCCGTGCCCATGACCCCACAAGTGCCGCCTGTCGGGGCCAGCTCCTCGTTCACTGACATGATATCTTCCACATCGACATCTCCCGCGCGGTACCTCGCCCAGTAACTCCTGCAATCCGTGCAAGCGCCCACCCGGACGCCCTCGACAGACCCAGGCATCATTGGGCCCGTGATCAGCGGCAAAGCAGGCTTATTGGCGCTGATGCCACCCATGAGTTGAGCCGGGACGGTCTTGTCGCATCCACCAATCATAACGACCGCGTCGACCGGCTGGGCCTTGATCATCTCCTCCGTGTCCATACTCATCAGGTTCCGGAGGTACATGCTCGTCGGACTGGAAAAGCTCTCGTGCACGCTGATCGTGGGGAAGTCCACGGGTAGCCCGCCTGAAGCGAGAACGCCGCGCTTGACGGCCTCGATCAGTTGCGGCACAGTGGAGTGGCAGGGGTTGAAGGACGAGTAGGTGTTGATGATCCCGATGATGGGCAGCGACAGTGCCGAGTCCGAGTATCCCAGGGCTTTGATGAAGACTTTGCGCAGAAACAGGGAGAAATGGGCGTCGCCATAAGAAGTGAGGCCCGACCGGAGGCCAGATGTTGAAGTGATCGGAGTCGACAGGTCGTAGTCTGAGTGGTGGACATCGTTGGTGTTGTTGTCGTTGGTGGTTTGATCATCATTCTTCTTCCTCTTCTTCTTATTCGAGCCGTCGGCATCGGTGTTGGACGTGTCGTGGGAACTCATGATTTCAGATGGTTAAGTCCAAATACTGTACTCCGTATACGTACTCAAGGACCAGCCTGCGAGCTTGCCTGTCTCGCTGTGTAGTCAAACCACTTGGGAACTGTGTGCTCCGGCCAAATAATGTGGTGCATCCCCAGATCAGTCACGCTCTGCTCGTCTGTTAACTGACCCGTTGTATTTTCCCTCCTCCGCTGTTCGTTCACTGTAGTATGATCTCCGGAACATCGTGGATAACCTGTGGGAAGTTGACAAGCGCCATAGCTACCTGGGCAAACACAGAAACCCTTTCCCTTGGTTGGCATACATTAGGTACCTACAAGGTACACATACCTTAGAGTAGATACTATTGGGGTGTTATTAGTTCTTCATGTGTCAAGACCTCTGGTATTAATAATAGTACTACCACCATAGGCCCGCCTGCTTATGTACCTACCTAGGTACCTAAGGTACTAATCACCCCTGCCAAGACACTAAAACTCAGACAACGAATCCCAGATCAATTCAGCTATATGTGTTGTAAAATTCAACTTTCTCCCAACAATTGCAATACCTGCAATCTACCGCCGGGTGTATGTCTCAACCTGTCCAGTTTACACTCGAATCAGTTCTGACTTCCATCTAGTAGCTCAATCGGTAGAGCGTGTGGCTCTTAGCACCCCCTAGCAACCACAAGGTTGGGGGTTCGACCCCCCCAGTAAGTTACACTGATCAAAACATCGATCTCATCAATTCTAACAATCATCTCAGTTCGGCTCAATTCCAAATGTACCTTGCATTCTTTTTTGTCTTTTTTGGTTTTCGGTTTTTGGAGTTGTACGGGGTCCTGCAATGTACTAGTACCTTATCTTATCTGAAGGGTTAGTGGAAGATGCGTTAGTAAGACAACGGCGCACGGCCGCTTCGGCGACGCCTACAATCAGAATCAAGGCTGCGCAACCAAGGAAATCAACTTGCTTGATGTACTACTCGTAGTAGTACTCATCAGTAACCAGAAACGAAATTCAACACTAAACTCATTTTTTGATAGAGAACATATATGAAGTCAGAGTTATTGTGTCTCGGAATTCAAATGATGCTTTGATATTGTTGGGGTCATGTACAGTGGCCAAAATAAATATCCAATATACTTGCTCCAAACAAACCAAGTGCACCTACAGTCCTGTCTTCCCGTGAATACCTAGTCATTATACCTCTCTCTTCTCTCTTCGTGAGTGCCATTGCTCTCCTCGTAGCCAAGTCAGCTGCTGCAAGTACTACCTTACACTGCATACCAAGGTAGTAAGTAGTATTGCGGTCTCGGAACCTCAAGCCCAACTCCCTCTCCAAGTGGCATCCAGGTTTCCCTCTCCTTCGCCCTTCTTCTTCTTCCGCGCAATGCCTTCACGAACACACTCGACGACATCTTCGACATTGGTCCCCCTCTTGCGCTTCTCCGTCCTCTCTTCTCCCAGCACAGTATCATCCGCAATGAGCTTATATATCTCCGCCACGCCCTCGAAGACCTGACTAGCGGACTGCGACGCCCCGTCATGATGATGGTGATTGCCGCCATCATCGCCCAGAACATCCGGACTGAAAACCCCCTCGAGACTGAAAGTCTCATTGATCTGTCTCATCTCGTCGACCCAGCGATAAGCTTTGGGCGGCATAGACGTCAGCCCGGCGCGCGCAAAGGCCAGGATCGCGGGATAGAACTCTGCCAAATGCTCCTTCAGAGCCGGAAGCACGCCGCAGCTATGAGCGGTCGTGAAAGATAAGATGGACAAGGCGATGGTGCCCTTCGAGAGGGCGGCGAAACACGATTTCAAGGCCGACGCCGGCCCAATGGCGTCGCCGACGATCTTCACATTCAGTAATTCCCGTAGAGACGCATCGAGCAGCTCGGCGATCTCTGGGCCGGAGATCACAATGGACGGACGTTTCCAGGACTTGTCTTCACGCAGCGACGGCGGGCCGCCGATAATGCCGCCGTCGAGGAAATTGATGGAGATGGGAGGCTGCTGCGGCTCGACTTCCGATTCTGTTCTGTGGAACGAGAACGAGCGCGCGATCGAGAGCTGGCTGGTTGGCGACGAGGGAGACGCCGTCGAAGTAGTTGTAGGACTGGTGAAGAGGGAGGCGATGCTGCGCGCCGTGCGCGGACTGATGGCGTTCAAGTCGATGTAGATCAGACTCGGCGCCGCGGTGCCTTTGCTTTCACCGCGTCGTTTGATGGCGGGCGCCGAATGACACGCCTCCAGGGCCCGGCGGGCCGTCGCCACTGCGTCGCGCGGAGGCACGATGCTCAATAGGATGTCGACCTCGGCGACGAGTTCTTCGTCCGAGGCCAGAGCTGTGATCTGCGCAACTTTGATCCGGTCGAGCGTGTGCTGGCTTCACGGTGCAAGGTCTCAGCAAAGAGTGCCATCACCAAGAATCGCAGCGATGGGCTTGGGCTTGGGCTTGGGCTTGGGCTTGGGCTTGTCAGAACGGAATAACTCAAAGGGGGTGCTTGCCTTCGTCCCGTGGCGACCGTGTAGACTGCGTAGTCGTGATGGCGGAGGAGTCGACCAATGCCCATGCCCATATCGCCGATGGAGAGGATGCCCACGCTGGGCTTGCTGGCCGTGGATGACGATGCCATTCTTTCAAATTCTGCTGGTTGAGTGTGATGCGTGTATCCGGCCGAAGAAGAATCACGCAGGATAAAGGTGGAAAAGGGAGAGAAAGAGGGTCTAGGCTTCATCGTGTCGTCGATATAGATGCCATCATGATATTGTTGGTCAGGTGATCACCATCGAGACGCCGCCTGTTTCCGATATAATGATATATTGCACTATCGTAGTCAGGGATGGATAGACCTCACAGGAGGCATCATGGACAGGCTTGCCCTCAGTAAGACTATCGAAGTTTGGAGAACTCACAGCAATCTCATGCTGGACTAGACGTGCTCCTAATAAGCAACATAGGTATTTCGTATATATATATATATGAGAGGGAGAGGATTCCCTACAGTCAGCAGCTGCTCGGCGTGACTTCATATTACTTCTTTCTGGCTATTGGAGTATTGACCATTCTTTCTCCCTCCACCACCGGCTACAAGGTATTGGACATATCAGACGTAAGCAAGAGATATCTCGCCCTTATCGACGTTTCAAGGATCTAGCGCTCGAGGCGCTTGCAATGCTGATTGAAGACTATCTAGCTGTACTGGACGAACATACCCCCTAGAGGGCCTTTTCCTTCCCTTTTCCATTCTCAGCTCTCTGCGCCGTGGACTCGTGGAAATTGTGCAGTCGCTCGCCAATGAGGTAAACTTCGTCACGAATCTTGGCCCTCCAGCTCGCCAGCTGACGTTGCAACCCCATCATCATTAACCAGAGCACTATGAGGCCCAGGACGGCTGGATACGCCATTCGATACAAGCGCATCTGGGCTTCCGGGTCGTCGAGTCCCGTCAACAGAATGACACCCTTTGCATACGCAAGAGGAAGGCCGAGCAGACCGAGGCAAATGATGCTGGTGGGAAGCACAAAGGCGCGACTCGCCAGTCGGATATCGGGTTTGAGGTACCCGTTCCGAGTGATGGCACGCAGGGCGGAAGCTACCTGTGAATCCTCGGCCACCTGGTGTGAGAACAATCTGAGAAGCAGTCGGAGGTAAAGGAGTCCAATCGTCCAGGACTGCAGAATGAAGATGGTGGCAACGGGCTGGGTGGAGACACTGCTTGCTGTAGCTTTCTCTTGACGCATTTCCAAATATGTGAACAGTGGAACGTGTATGTACAGCTCTGTGATCAATGACAGGACAAAAGGCAGGATGACCAGAGTGTACAACCCCAAATATGTCAGCCCCAGACCATACTGTATCGAGGAAAGAATCTGTGGACCGAACCACTGTGGGACCTTGGTTCTGACATTGGTTCGAATGGACCGAGCGTAAGCGGCAGCGTAGCCCAGTATCGCAAAGATGTGAATGCCGATAGTAAAAGCATACAAATCGTTGGGCGGCTTGGTCGATTGGGAAAGCCACTGAGTCACCTTTCGACCAACCAATAGAGGACCAATCGTAAATGCCACTCCTGTCGAGGCGGCGAACAACCACACGAGGACAATGAAGGCTGCAATTCGCGCTCGGAATTTTGGAGGGAGATAGACCCTGGTGAAGCGCTCATCTTTACTGCCATGGATGCCGTATTCCAGATCAGGAAGCCCATCAACACGGTCATTTTGCTCCGTGACTTCTAGGAAGACGTTCCGTTCTTTGGGTATGCGAACAGAGTCGGAGGCAGGTGCTCGAACATAAACGCCGTCCCGCACAGGGTTGGCGTTGCCTTTCCCAAACAACCCCCAGAAGGACCCTTTTGGTGAGCTGTACTTTTCCTCCTCGCGCTGCTCGCCGAAGAGAAAGTCGGTCAATCTCAAGGCTTTCGCACATACCTGGAACCACCACTTGTACATGGCCGAAATCTTTTTGGAGGGTTCGGCCTTTCGTAGAATAAATGGAAGCATAAAGTTGTAGAAAATGATGTCCACTGGGAACGCCAATTTTGGTTCCGCCGTGGCCCATTGAATAGGGAAGATGCCATTCACACCACCCAGGGTCCAAATAACACCACCCAGACATACAATCACCAGGCCGCCGTAGACCAAGGCGGAGAATGCAATTTTCCCCAATTGCGCCGGAATAGGACGCTCAAGAACGTCGCGCACAGGATGAAAGTTGGGATCGTCCGGGTCTCGGATAAAGTACAAAACTCCCGTCCTCATGATTTTCCTGCATATTGACACAAACAGGGCGAAATGAAACATGTAGCAGGTGCCAATGAACCAGTGAATGAAGATGCCAGTAAACGGCGCTCTGATGATGAAGCCAATTCGGCCGGCAACGGTGGCGTTGGAAAACAAAGGCAGGAGCGCCAGGTCGAGAAGGAGTCCGCAATAGAGCGGAAAGACCAACATTTCTATTCCGATAATGACAATCACTTTCATCACGCCTCCGGCTTGGCGAAGACAGTCCGCGATATAGCCTTCGACCCTTTCGTTCTCTTGGAGGCCCAGGAGAACATGAGCAAGTTCCAGGAATACAATGCCAGCAGCTGCGAAAAACGCGTACCCAAGAATGATGGTCAGGATCCGATCCTCAGTACTCCATTCGACCAACGAATAATCCACCTCATCTCCTTTTGCAGAAGAAACGGAGGTCAAGTCTTTGGGTAGGTTCCGCAGCGCAGCCATGCCAAGCGTCCCGAGGCTCGAAATTCTCCCTGGAGCTGATCTGAGAAATTCTCCACATGCTGCAACAATCGAGGGGAAAGTTAGAGACTCCGTGGCCGTCAACTCCTGAACACGGAGAGCCGAGGCGAGAATCCAAGCGAACGTGTTGCTAAATGATGCTTTGAAGGATTTCAAAGCTTGGTAAGATACCATAGAGAAGGTCGGCAGATCCGGTCTCAGATGAAGAGCTGCCCCAGATAACGTTCTTTCCAGGCGTGCGCCGCTCTTTTGGGTGAGATCTAGGGTCAAGCCTTCAAGCAGAGCAGGATTGAGGACGTTGCTGAGGGCCGGGAAGAATGGCATACTCATGGCTTTGATGAGCTTGACAGGTTGGGCAAGGACAAAACCACCCAGTCCCGCCATGAAGAAGATCATGTCAAACACTATGTCCGCCATTTTGGACAGAACGAATAGTGGCGCCTTGACAAGCATACCAAACGGGTTGGACATGACCAGAAGGGCAATCTTACCCCAGATATAGGGACACCAAACACTGGCTGTTAGAGTAACCATGATGAGGAAGAGACTGAAGACGACATTTTGAAACATGCCAAAGATGGGGCCTTCCATGCCGAGCAATTCGAGAACGCCGTCGAGATCTTCGCCGTCCTCGGCACCATTCTGATCGTTGAGATCGACACCCAGGAAAAAGTCTGGTTCCCGAGCTTGTACTTCCTCAAGGGCGGCGCCTCCAGCTTGGATGGCTTCGCGGTTGTGATTTGGTACGAAAGGAGCTTCCGGGAGTACACCTTCCACAACTTCCTCATCATCCTGAACGCGTCCATAGTCTTCAGTTTCGGCGAGAATGGGATCATTGATCGAGTCATCGATATGCCAAAGCCATTGTGATAATCTCCCTAGAATTGTTGGCTCCTCGGGCGGTGGTAGGGTGCCTTGAATACTGCCATTTACAGGGCTTTGGTCCTCGCCCCGTGTCGAAGAGCGTCCTGCTTCACTCGAGTCCGGTGTGGGTACAGCTGGTCCATCCGACTCGGTATCTTCCCCTCTCGTTCTGGGACGGAGTATATCTTGGCCACTTTCATCTATGGCTTCTGCCGCCTCCGCAATCAATAACTTTGTGTTCAGGGTTTCTGCAGCGTGTTCCCAAGATTCTTCGACCTTTGGACTCCCAGAGTCTCCCAGTGGCGCTGAATCGGGAGTATGTAAAAGGCTGTCAGAGGGCGAGTCGCTTCCGAGTCCGGCTAGAGATCTATCCTGGGGTATCAAATTGCCGACTTCACCATTCGGCGCCACCTCAAACCCTCCCTGAACAAGCATAGAATTGCTCAGACTACGTCGTCTGAATGGTATGGAGTCGTGATCATCAGTCAACCCCGCGCTGCTCTCCCCGGGAGTCTCCTCAACACTATGATCTGGAGCGGAGTCATGATTGGTCAACAAGCTCTGTGATCGTACAGGTAGCTCCGGCCGTTGAAACCCGGCCTCGACCACGTTCAAGATATTATCATCAGTGAGAGCTCGCCGTGCCGTCGGTATAGCAATAGGTCGCTGTTCATTCTCCGAAGCGACAAGATTGCCCTCGCCTGCTATCCCCGGAACGTCTTGAGGATTCGGAGGTTGCAGGTTCACAACCGGGCCCGCTTCATTTTGTGCAACGAATGCGGGTTGGGGGATTTCGGCGAGGTCGGCATCAGGTAGATTGGGGATATTTTGTTGATTGATCACCCATTCTCGTATAAGAAAGACAAGAATGAAGGCTGTAACAAGGAGAACGCAAATCAATTGCCCTTCCACGATATCAACGGTTGCATTATTGATCGCAGGAGATGGGGACCAATTTGCCAGGAACTGAACGTCTGATAGAACAGATGGAGGTCGTTCCAACATGAAGAATGGCGACGACGCGTTGGACACGTTGGCTGAGCCAGTATTATGGACCGGAAGAGGCATGACCAGAGAGAAGACAAGTTGCAGAAGCCTGCCGATCAAACCTTGGCTAAACACCACGCGAGCAATATCGGCCAGAGACACTTGCATGGGAGGAAACACCAGCTTCACCCGTTCGAGGTACTCCGGAACCGTGAAGTTGACAGCCGCGATCTCCGGAGACTGTACAGCAGGCCAGGTCGAAGTAGCATTCGCACCGATCTCTGCAGCGGTGTAGACATCCTTCTCATTCAGCCAGCCTCCGTCAGCTAGCCAGAACAGACCTCGCCATGCTTGTCTTATGCACCAAGGAAGACAGCCCAGCCATATGATTGCCACAGCTACATAACGCATCCAGCGAGATATCCCCTTCAGCGAATGACGTACAAGTTGGCGGAGGAAGAGAGGAAAGGGCAATGTGGCTGGCATGGACCGGTCGTAGATCTTGGTGAAGCGAAAGGAGGTCTTGCAAAGCTCGCATTTTTTCTTTTGAGAATGGGACAGCCATTCCATCAAACATTCCTGGTGGACGAATTTGATGCTTCCGCTGCACTTGCAAGGGTAAAATAACGGCTGGTCTGGGGTAGCCTCGCCGCGGCAGATGCGGCAATAGTCCTGGGCTTCATCATGTGCGGCAGCCGCTGCTGCCTCTGCCTTGGCTCTTTCGCGAGCGAGAGCGACAGGGTGTTTCTCGTAAACGTCTAGGGGCATCTTGCCTGATGCTGAGAGACCAGCCACGGAGGGGGTGTTGAGAGATTGTCATTTCGCGAGGGAGGCAGGTTTAGGTCATGTTTGCCGAAATGAGGGAGGCAGCGAGTGTCACGGCAGCCTAGAGAAAAGAGTCACAAGGTACAATGAGAAGATGGTGTAGTGAGGTGAGAGGATGAAGAGTTAGGACAGATGTATCGTTGTCGTTGATATGATAGTATCTTGAAGTGCGTTCGACGCAGTCTCACAACTCTGGACAGTAATTCGCAGGATGGTCACGTGCCGCACCGCAGGATGTCAGTCACATGTCCCTAATACGTTCTTGTGCAGCCACTGCGCCGGTTGAGCATTAATTAATTGTTCACCTGTAAAATAAGAAGAGGCGCAGGCAGCCACATGCGGAGCAACAGCCAGGCAGAAATGCTCCATCACCAGCATTGATATAAGCAGTTGGTTGGCTTCAAAACAACTGGGCCAGCCGGGAACATGTGCTTTCTTACATCATAACCTTTGTGGCCTCTATCGCTAGTATTTTCCCATTGCACCGCATCGTGGATTGTCGTTGTCGATCTACTTTGTACAGTTAGACCTGCGATCGTAGTAGAAGCCCTTAGCCTGGAGGTATGATACAACCAGAATCCTGCTTGCTTATCAGTAGCGGTAGCAGTAGTAGTGATACATACCACCACCATCATCTTGCCCACCTCGCAGTCGGTGGCTTGGTTGTTGCACAGTGAGAGTGACGCAGTGACGCAGTGGCTGCAGCTCCCTGTTCTCTGCTACATCTCGAACGCAACTTTCTGGCGCATGTTGGCCTCGAAACCTGCGACACCTCCACAAACCCTCCCCTGCTCATAGTCCAGCGTACCCGATCTCCTCTTGTCTCTTCAGCACCAATCCTCGTCTGCCTACACAGTAGTAACGCATACATCGTTCTACTCTCAGAACTCCTTTTGCTGCTCTCAATTCATCCAGAACGGCAACTCACGCACATCTCTGCAATAGCAGAGACTTGTTCCCTACAAGTTATCATCACGCAGCCACATCGCTTCCTGGAGGTGGAGAGTTCTTTCACAGCCTCAACACCCGCACGTCGCTGCGATGGCGGTAGTTGAGAATGGAAAGCCCATAGAAAGTGTGAAAGACAGACCCAACGGACATGCCATCGGCCATGTTGCACGGCGCAGTTCGCCTCGTCGTCAGGGCTGGACATTCTGGACTTTCAACAATCTTGCCAGGTAACATGCCCTCAGATCATCGGCACACCATTGCACTGCTAAACAAATCACAGGTTGACCATCTGGTATGCCCTCTTGACCATCGTATTCAGGTGTCCGTCAACGCCCAAGGACCTCACCGATACCTCTCCTCAGATATGCAAATCCTACTTGACCGCAAAAGCCTATGCCCAACCTCATCTACAGCCCTACTATGATGACTACGCAGCACCCTATGTCACAAAGGCCCAACCTTACGCCGACCTGGTCAACAAACGGGTGATTGGACCTGCTTCACTCATTGCCAGGCGTAATTATGAGAAGTACGCTGCTCCACAAATTGATGCTGCAAAGGTCTACTCGCAAGCCCAGTGGGAGAAGTCGGTTGTGCCACAGATCACCATTGCACAAGGGAACGCCGCCAAGTTGTATAATACGAACGTTGCTCCCCATGTGGAAAAAGCAAGGAGTCTGATCGGACCATACTATACCACGACCCGAGATCTAGCCTACAAGATCTATCACGAACATGTCCTTCCTTCTGCGAAGTATGCGAGGCCTCATCTCGAGACTGCCTACAACTCTACCCAGACGTTCGTCGCCGACACCGCATATCCATTGGCGCGACATACGTGGTCTGAGCTGGTCATCTTCGTGGATGGAACTTTGTGGCCATTCCTGAAGGGCTTGTACATTGACAACGTCCGACCTCAGCTCGTCATGATCAACGAGAGAATTGCCAAATACCAGGAGAGCCGAAAATTGAAGGCTGCCATGGACGAAGTTGATGAAACACGGTCGGCATCTGGATCCCCAACAGCCACAACTCCCATTGCAACAGCCGTAATGGATGACGTCTACGCAATGTTCGAGTCCGATGACCTGGCATCCTCGACGGCAACCGGTGCAAAGCCCCAGTCAACAGTCCAGCCGCCTGTGAGACCGCCGCCTGAGATTGCTACCGAAGAAAAGATTTCCGAAGACCTCCAAAACTGGCAAAAGAAATTCGCTGTAGCAGCCGACAAAGGGAGCGACGACCTTCGCGAGAGGGTCGCCTCCATAGTCGGCAGCCTTGTCAAGAGCGATATTGATGGAGTCGGTCGAAGATTGCAAACCGCGTTGGAAAAGACAGTGGAGAACGAGTTGGAGAACGTCAAAGCGAAAACCAAGTCAACCATTGCGTCCCTCCCTGATGATGCGAGTGCCGAGGAGGTCAAGAAGGCGGCGGAGGACATTTTAGCCGCCATCAGAACGTCGGGCGTCGAGATCAAGGAGCGTGCAAAAAATGTGCGCGACTGGGCCCAGAGCTTTGAGACTGCTTTAGTCCAGCGCCTTGCCGCCGCCTCCGCCTCGACTCTGGAAGTCTTGGATGGTATCAAAGATCTTGGCCTTCAAGAGGTGGGCATGCGTTGGGCATGGATGGAGGGCGTCACCTACAAACACTGGGAGAAATTCCATGAGGTCCGAAGGCAACTTGACGAATGGAAGGACGAGGTTCGGAATGTTGCCATGGAGCATCCAGATACACAACAGGCGGTCGCTGCTGCCCGACAAATCTTGGAAGAAGGCATGGCCATGACCGAAGATGCCGCCAAAGAGCTGGTAAGGCTGAAAGGTGTTGCACAATGGAAGCTAAAGGCCCGGGATGCCACGGATGATTTCGAGACACGAAGCGTCCCCGCTGAAGCTGTCTCTGCTGCCTCGAGTCTAGCAGCTGAGCTTCAGGGTGCAACCGCCCAAGGCGTAAGATCGGCGCAATCTGTCTTATCTCAAGCAAGCGAAGCTGTTGGAGGTGCAGCCTCGTCCGTTTCGTCCGCAGTCAAAGGCACCAGTACTGGCAGCTTCGAGTCGGCGTCTTCAAAAGCAAGTGACGTGGGAGCAGCAGCCGCTTCGCAGGCGTCATCTGCTGCAGGAGCTTTGTCATCAGATTCGGTGAAGTCCATGGCGTCCCAACTCGAAACATCAGTGGCGAATGCCTATGAAGCCGCTTCTTCGGCAGCAGCAGGTGTTGGGGCCGGGGCTGCCGGGACCGCCCTTCCTCAGGCAGCATCGTCCGGCTCAAGTTTGGCTGAAGGAGTCCTAGACTCCGCCGCTTCTGCGACGGATCGTGTTGGCAGCTCCGTCTCCTCGTTTGTGGAGAATCTTGCATCACCGTCCACCACGTTGGCATCGTCGATCATCTCTGGAGCAGAAGAAGGAGCCAGCTCTGTGTCGTCCACTGTAAGCTCCGGTGCCAGTCAGGTGTCATCCAAGGTCTTTGCTGGCGCCATGGCGCAGGAGGTCAAAGGCTCCATTCCCATTCTGGATGATGTGTTCGAAGACAATGAAGATTCGACCTTTTCTGAGAAGGTGCAAAACATCATCAACAATGCTGGAGATCGATATGCCGAAGTTACACGAGCGGTCTCCGAAGCAATGTTTGGAGCGACTCCAGGAACCGCGGAGAGCATGACCTCGGTTGCCAGCGAACACTACGCAAGTGCCTTGGCTGCTGCGTCAAGCGTGCTGTACGGGACACCCCAAGGAACAGCAGAAAGCATTGCCAGTGTTGCGTATGATAAGTATGACCAGGCGGTGGCTGCTGCGAGTTCCGCCATCTATGGCACTCCAACTCCAGTGACTGATTCGCTCCTCCAGCAAGCCAGCTCTCTCTACAGTGACGCTGTGAGCCGAGCGGGAGACCATTACAGCGCGGCCAAGTCAGTTGCCTCCCAACAGATTTCTGGGACGCCCAAACCCGTTCACGAACAGATGTTTTCTTCTATTGATTCAGCATATTCGGGTGCGGTGGACGCGGCCAGTACCAGACTTGATTCGGCTCGTAGTGCCGCCTCCAACCAATATTCTTCGCTGAGTAAGGGAGCCTCGAACGCCATTCCGACCACGAATCCTTTGGTTTCCGTGTCTTCGTTGGCTTCTTCGGTTCTGCAGAATTCTTTGGCTGCAGCATCGGAACAATATTCCAAGGCGAAGGTTGCTGTTGGTGCGACCCCAGCTCCCGCTCGTGAGCGGTATCTTCAGGAAGCACGGAAGAATTACTATGCTGCCATCGGTTTAGCTCATGAACAATACGACGACTTCGTCAAGGCTGCGTCTAGCGCGATCTATGGCACGCCCACTCCTGTCTTGAGCAGCATGTCGAGTGTTGCATCGGTTGCGATGTATGGAACCCCGGTTCCAGCATATCAGAGCCTCATTGATGCGGCCACCTCTCAGTACGCTGCTGCTTCCTCTGCAGCCGCAGCCAGTCTCGATGCGTACAAATCGTCAATCAGCTCAGCAGCCACTCCAGGGTACAGTCTATGGGATGACGCAGTGGCAGCGTACTCCAATGCCATCGGATCCGCCGGCTCCTCGCTCTCATCGGCTTCGTATGCTGCAAGCACTGCAATTTACGGCACTCCTGTTCCGTACCACCAGAGTGTGTTGGACCAGGCTTCCTCACGGTACGATGCTGCCACCTCTGCCGCCGCGGCTCAAATGTCAAGCATGCTTGGATCCGCATCTTCGGCATTGGGTAAAAATCAAGATTCGCCGGCACCACGTGTGCTCAACGAGATCTCGTCTCAGTACGATGCTGCCGTGCAGGCGGCCTCTTCCTCGCTCTCTGCTGCTAGCTTTGCTGCAAGTAGCGCTGTTTATGGTACATCAACGGGCACTATCGAGTCCTTGTCGAGTGTCGCCTCGGAAAACTGGGAAGCCTTGGTGTCTAAAGCTAGCGAGCAAATCTATGGTTCACCGAAACCGTTCTACGACGAATGGGCCACCCAGGCAGGCGAGTACTCTGCCCAAGTCACCGACTATGCAAACGACAAGTTTGTCATTGTTCAATCGTTTGTCTCCGAACTCGTCGTGGGGAAAGAGCCCGATTTCACTGAGTCAGTGATGAACAGACTCAGCTCTGCGTACTACGACAGCTACGCTTCGGCATCAAGCCTTGCCAGTGATGCCTACGAATCCGCCTCGTCCGTGGCGTCTTCTGTGTCCTCTGTCGCATCCGACTACTTTACCCCACCGCCTCAAGTCACATCAGTCCTGGACACTGTGAATGAGCAGCTCAGTTCGCTCGTTGATGCAGCCAGCGTCCAGGTCTACGGCACTACGAAGGGGTCCGTTGAACAGGCCACATCTGCAATGGCTGAATCATACTCGTCGGTCAGCGCTGGCATCAGTGAAGCGATCTACGGAACTCCAGTCGGATATACTGAAGCGGTCCAATCTTCGATTGCCGACGTGGCCAAGAGCGCACAAGGTGCTCTTTCCGCTGCTATATACGGCACTTCGACTGGGACGGTAGAGTCTGTCACAAGTGTTGTTGCGGATTCTTACTCATCAGTCTCGTCGGCACTGGCTGATAACTTATCTGCTGCTGCATCTGTGGTTGGAGATGTGCCAGGTGGGGCGGCGAGTATGGCCGAGAGCGTGCGAGCAAAGGTGTCTGAGGCCATCTATGGCCCGGAGCAGAGCGCATTGGAAAGTGCTCAGTCAAGAGTCGCTGAGGCTGTAGAGAGCGCCCGAAGTGCCATCGCCGCTATGGCCAGTGCTGCAGGAGACAGTGGCTCGCAAGTTGCAGATGCGATCAGCAGTTCCGTCGAAGACATGGCGAGTGCAATCAGCAGCTCCGTCAGCAGTGCTACCGATTATGTCAAAGATGAATTGTGAGGAGAGAAGAATGCCCAAGGAGCTTTTGTCCCTACGGAACGAGGGAGTGGCATCACTACGGGATTTTGAAGAATGAAAGTCACAACGAGACCAAATAATGAAATTGTTTCTAGGCGGGCAGCAATTGGGGAGGGAAACGAATTCTTGAGAAGAGCGAAAATGGAGGAGCAGTCCGAGGGAGGAGGCGTGGTCTTGAGAGCGACCAAGTGAGTACACACACCACGCTCACTTCTCTGTTCTGGGGATGGCTGAGAGAACAGTGTTCATGTGAAGGAACGAGAGTGAGATTGAGAATGAGAGATACCCCATGAGCCAGGCAAGGGCGAGTTGGCACCAAGCAGGCCGTGAAGGGGGCAATCAAACTTGCAAACTTGTTGATATCGAAGGGCTAAGAAGGCTGTCGATGACCTGGTATCTGTCCTTGCCTTGGGTCCCTTTTTCCCTTCCTTTCCCTTTCTCATCTCTTTTCCTTGTCTTGTCTCGTTTTGTGTTATGTTGTACATCGTCCCGTCTATTCCTGGCAACAAGCGACTCCAGTGGCTCGAATTGCCACATCAATATCTCATGTACTCTGTACTCTGGACTCAGATAGTCAGTCAGTCATGTATGTACTGTACTCACTGTACTCACTGTACTCACTGTACTCACTGTACTCACTGTACTCACT